TGCCTCCGCCGCTGGGAACGTGCAGAGAAAATATTTGACTTTTTGCGCACACAGTTATGGATATATAAATATGTCAAAAGTGTTGTTTGCCTTTCTGTCGCGGCCATTGTGGGAAAGTGTGAGGTTCTGGGCCCGAAGCTTTCTGACGACAGTTTGCCAGTGATCTTATCGGCGGATGGGTAATTAATTGTTCAGGGGCATGTTTGGCATCGTATTTGGTGGGAGGGCGAAATGGTTTTGGAATTAACAGTATCAGATGAGGCCTGAAGGGTAGTTATCAACCTTGAAACTATATAAATAAATCGAGCTATAAATTAATAAAATAATAAATATTTAAAGAATCTGATAAGAGAAATGATAATGATAAGATAACTTCCTCTTTTAAATATTGATTTCATAATACCTGGTTGAGCTCTTAAAAAGCTTGAACAAGTTGCCCAACACAAAGCCATAGAACCCATTCACTTTGGTCACTATCGGTTTCCAGATCATTTCACAATTCACAGACCCGGCGTTGGCCATTGTCCGAGATCTCCAAATGACCAGGTTAATAAGCATAATCCAATGGAAACCAGTTGGCCCAACTAGCGGAGCCAAGCCCCTGGGGTGGGAGCCATTTACCCCCCTCCAACACAATACGCATATCCAATGGCCCTCCGTCCGAAAACCCTATTGAGACGGAGCCAGAACTAATAAAACTCATTAAACCAAACATGTTTGGGCTTAGACAAAGCCTCTGTCTATACCCAATTTGAATAATCTCCTGCACAGAGAGCTATACTATATACTATGCCTAACGAATGGGGCGACGAGAAGGAGACCCAAAAGAGTCAATAATCTGATTGGGAGGCGAACGCGAACGCAAACGAGAACAAGAACAAGAACAAGAAGGAGAACGACGTTCAATTAAAAGCAAAACTCAAATTAATGAAATGAAAATAAAAATAAATTAACCAAAGCCCGAACTCGAATCCAAATCTCAGCCGAACCCGAAAGAAAGCGACCGACCGACCGCGCGGCGAAACCCACCAAACCAGCAGCCTCTGAAAAAAGAGAGAATCAAAATGATAACTTTTCAGTTCGGAGCGAAACTGTACCCCCCTGTTCGGCATCGGCATCGGCAGTGGCGTTATAATGATCACCGAGATCATGATGATGCTGGATGCGTGGAAGAGGAAGAGCCAAAGAGCCAAAGAGCAAAGCGTACGGCCCAAAAACAGAACACAAAAGGTGGCTGGAACCCGAACCCGAACCTCCACCGGCAAATGGCCAAGATCGATACAATTTTCGAGCAGCATTCGGGTTTTCGGGCATTAAAAAGTCAGAGAACAGTAACAATGCGGAGTCACAGATACAAAGAAACCCAGATACTCAGATCGGCTATATGGCCGTGTAGTATGTCGAGGGACCGAGACAAAGTCACCTTTTTGGTTATACGGGGGGAGTCAAAAGACAAAAGACGTGGAATGGGAACAAGATCATTGCATTTTTGCTGGCTGCTGTCGCTGCTTTTTTTTCTTTTTTTGTTGCAGCCTCGAAGCCAGTTTCGCCCCAGCTTGGTAACAAGTTTGGCTGAAAATTCTAAAAATAATGCCGGCCGGTTTGTCGTTTCAAAAAAATCAAAAAACAAAAAAGGGGAATACGAAAAGAAAGAGTGGGCCCAACTGTAGAGATGTTGCATCTGTACGTGAGTGTGAGTGAGTGTAGGGTAAGAAAAAATAACCAAAATGAGTAACATTTCAAGGGAAGGGACTAAGGATGCCAAGAGCCAAGTGGCAAGTCACTCGACTCGGCTTACAGGCAGCTGCAATTGGCCCAGGGATGGGCACGCAGCACATTTGATTTTACTAAAGGCGATTTAAGGTTTTTTAAATAATATTATTTCTTTTTAATATCTAGGTATTCAAAAACCGCTAAACGTTGTATTGGAGTTTTTAGTTTAGTTTTAATTTTGTGTAATTTGAAATAAAATGTAATAAACATTTTTAAAGGAAATAAGGGGCTGATATCATTTGGAAAAGATAAGAGACTAGATATTTTTGAATTCTTAACCTTTATAATAGGTTAAAAATTGTTTCTCAGTCCTTTTTTGTGTTGCACAAAAGATTTAGTTATACACTTAGATATACAGAATATTTATAATTTACTGTCATATATTTTTTAGTTATTAGATAAGACTTTTTTCAAAGAGTTATAACACCGAGCTAAAAAAAAAATTAAATACACATCGATAAAACTGTGTATTTTTAGTTATATTTGCGTTTTATTACTATTATTTACTATTATTATTATTTCTGTTATTTCTTTTAGTCTCTTAAACACCAGCATAAATGAAATGCAAAGTGCCATAACTGGGATTTTCCTTGGATTACAGCCCTGATGCTGGTGGATGTTGCATCTCAGACCATCAGAGGCGCACCAATCTCGAGCCCAATCCCTGTCCAGTTCGGTTCGGTCCGGTCGGCATTGGTCCCTGGTCCCTGGGCCCTGATGATCATGACGCTGCTGAATGTGGCCGGTGGTGCCCAGCATGGGGCAGGGGCAGCCTGTTTGTGGTGCTGTTCCCTCATCTCTTAACGTTTGTTTGCAACAAGTAACGCGCATCTGTATCTGTATCTGTATCCGTAGCCGTATCTGCGGCAGTGTTTGCCGGGCCAAAGAGTTGCTTACCTGAGGTACTGACCGTGCTACCTGCGCACAGGTAGGCGTATGCATGTACCCCAAACATGTGTGTATGTCGGTGCCCATGTCCTTCGTCTTTCGCCGTGGATGCAGCAGCCAACGGTCAGCAGAGGCGGCGCAGCATCGGCTAAGAACCATCATTATGTTCAGCCACATATATATTATATATATATATATGGGCTTGTTTATGTACTTGTGCTGTCTTTATATAAGGGCCAGCAGATTGTGATTGTGTCTCCTGGTATGACTTGGCAACTTGCTTTTGGTTATGGGGTAGCTAGGCGTCGGGCTCTTCTGCCTCTGCTTAATGGTTTTAGGAAATCGAAAATTAAATAATTTATCTCGATTTTATGACGTTACAAGCAGGTTTTTATACCTCTCCTCTCCCATCCAGCACGCGATAAATCTCCGGCTTACAATCAGGGAAATGCTGCAAGAACAAAAAGCACGCATGCCCAGTGCGGTGCATTTAAGTCGCCTTTAATTTGAATAACCGTGCGGTTCTAATGCCATAAAAAAGCGATGCTGCCGTGGCCCCTGACCCCTGACCCCCGACGCAATCAAAATCCCCGAGTAAATCAACCGTGGAGGGGAGCTGTTTTCAAAGTCCCCATCTTGACTTGCTCATTATTTTCCTCAGCTTTTTTTTGGCTGGTCATCGCACTCAAGTGGTTCGTTCGCGTCGAGATTGATTCGAAAGAAAGGTGCAGAGAAAGTGGTAAAGAGGCAGTGGACTTGGACCAAGTGGGTTGTCACTGGGTCGTTGCTACACAGCAAGAAATTAAATTGCTTTTCATAATATTGCATAACATGAATTCCTTAAATATATAATGAATGAAAAACATATTTCATTGTCCAAATTTTTAAATACATTTGAAAAGATTAAATTATTGTTCTAGTCAGATTAAAAACAGAAACATGCCTTGAATAATACCACATGTTGCAAACATTACAAAGCGCAACACACAATAGTAGACAGGTAACTTATAGTAAGTAGCCTAGTGAATAAGTTCATCAAATTTTGTTGATTTCGACTTATGCGTTCAAATCTAAAATCCAAAACCAGGAAGAATCCAAAGCAAAAAAAAAAAAACCTACCTGCTGGTCATAATTATAAGTATAATATTAAGTATTAACCCTGTTTATTGATATTTTCCTTTTTTTATACTCCTTTAGTAATTTGTTAAACGAAAGACTTGTGTTTACTTAAAAAACAACAGAAAATTTGAATTTTTTATTGGCAGATTTTCGATTTTTCCATTTTATGTCGAATTTTATTTTAAAACCAATGAAGTTGATATCCGTTTAATTTCTGATCGGCATCATCATTCTACTTTAGCGGCGGGTTGGAAATTTTTGTTCATATCTAAGTTTAAAAAGTAATGATGAAAAGTTAGGAGAACACTATGTTCTTCTATGTGTACTGAGATGCTTATAGAGGACAAGGAGCGACTTGAAGCTCCGGTCGCATGTGTTCGCATCGTTAGCAATTGATGGAAAAGTTTTCGGTTTAATCTGGCTGGCAGCTGGTACAGTTTTGATAATGGTCAAGATATTTTGTGGTCACTTTGATGTGGTTTTTGCGGGCTTGAAGTGGACATTGCATGGGTATTATCGCGAAACTTCAAGATGACATTTCAGCTTAGCTTGACATTAAATCTTATTCAACTGCCACTTGTTTTTTACTTGCATTTCCTTTTCTTTTTAAAGTGATTGATGTTATCTTGTAAACCATAATTACATTAAATTTTCATGAAGTATTTACACGCATGGATGGCACGGTATATTAAGAATACATAACGCTCTTTTTGGCAAAAACAAAAACTTTTTTAAAATTATGTATTATGATTAAAGTCACAACACATTCAATAATTATTATTGATAACATTTAATGGGTACTACAATCTTTTAATTCATTTGTAAAATATTTATACATAAGCTCTGCAGATCAGGATCTGATCAAAAGACATTTTCGAAAAGACCTAATGAAGAAAGAAAAATATTAAACCAATTTTTTATGCGCCAGGCTCAGTAATTTTAGTAAAACGATATAGTTAAAACTATTTAATGAAAGCAGAGGTTGGTTCAAAATAAACTGGTAGAAGATGGTTTCCCGGAATAGTCGCTATCAGAAGTGGTATTTAGAAAATCTGGTTTTTTGCCTGGCAAACTTTGATTTTTGTTAAATTCAGGACCATGATCGGACCACTACAGAAATATCGTTTGCTTTCTGGTTCAAATTGACTCAGCCAAATAGCTAGATATGAACAGATAAAAGAATAATATCCCTTATTCAGTTAAAAATAATACCACTACAATTTTAAGTAAATTCTAGGTTTATTTGGCTTAATAACTTAGAAAAAATGTTTTAATAGAGCTCAAAAGTAATTACGTTCTAGTACAGTACCACCTCCTCGACGCCATACCACGTTGTGGAGTAAATGGGTTTTATCTCACGCCTTTCCACAATATTTGCTAGCTGTGGCAACAAGTTGGCTAAGTCAAACAAACTGTCCTCATAGAAGGAGAGAAGATTGGCCCATTTGGAGAGCGTCTCGAGCAGAGCTTCGTCCTTGGAGATGCTCAGCAGGGTGAAGTGGGAGGTTAAAAGGCAGCCGAACCATTGCAGAGCCTGGACTTCTGTTTGAATCAGCGTGGATTTCCGATTAGGCCGTTCCTCTAACTCGGCTCTGGGATCATTGGCCAGTTCGTACAAGTGGTTCATTAGGAACAGCACATGGGGTAGCTCCAGTCGCTGGCGCAAATGCACCTCGATGCCGCTGGTATCAAAACTACAGGCTAGAACTGCATTTAGTAGCTCGTTGCTAGTCTGATTGGTCTCCATGGGTTCAGCCTTGGCATCACCGTTGATACCAGAGGGTTTCATGCTTTTATCTAGAGCAAAACGCAGCGACCATGCTAGCATTCTCTCCGAGACATTACTATAACGTCGCAGGCACATAAGCACATGCTCGGTATTCTCGGTCTTGATGAAAAGGGTAAGAATCTTTTCGATTATCTCTTCTTCGCCCGCTCCACTCCTTTCCAATTGTCGCACCAAGGCCTGTACAGCTGTGTTCTTCGGTCCCCAATCGAAGAAGTTTGTCATTAGAGTGACACTCACATCCTCCAATCCGTTTTCACAGCTAGTAGCCTCTCCATGAACATGATGCTTAATTATTTCGTCTATCTCCTGGTCCACCACCTCGGGTGGATCGTAAGCCAACTCCCTGCCATCTGCCGTTTGGACCTCCAAAGTGGGCAGCTTTTTCTTTAATTTGGATTTGACAGCGCCGTAGTTGAAGGCCTTTGTGCTTCCATCGAACTTTATAAGCGACTCCAGGTGCTCCTCCTCGTTAATGTGATCCAGTTCGATGGGACTAAGGTGAGTGTCGCTAAACTGTGAACCAAGCATATCTACCAGCACCTCTCTGTTCATTCTGTATTGCACAGCGGCTATATTCTGACCCATGGCAAGCAGAATGTGCTCATCGCCGGCCCAAAGGCGAGAGAAGTCCAGGTACACTTTGAAGTACTGCTTGGCATTGACCACCTTGAACTGAGTGTTGTAGACCAACAGCGAGGCTCCTTCCTGCCCGTAGTTGGCCCCATAAATGGCCGCAAAGTTCCGAGAAACTCCGTGCACTGACAGCTTACTCTCCACATTCAGCTCGGCCAGCATCGATACAAACTGTCCGGGTGATCGCTCAGATGTGCGCTCCGTAAGGTTTAGCATGAAGATTCGTTTGTCAGACCCTTAAAGGAAAACATTTTTTAATTATTAAAATTAAAAATGTAACATATACAAACAATAGACCTAAAAGACTATAGGAAACAAACTTTGAATGTATTTCTCACACACTTACATATAGTCAGTAGTTGAGGAGCTGCATCTCCTTCTACGACTGCATAGCCAGTTAGCCGTACATCCTCCCTTTTGATGAGGTACTCCCGCCTGTTGGCAGTGGTCAGGGAAAGCCGGATGAGCTGCAGTTCGCCGGTTGCTTTTGTTTCCTCGAAGTAGGTCAGCACCTGCTGGCCCTGGGCCAAAGTGTACACTTTAGGTTTGCTAAGGACCTTGCTGGCAGCCAAGGCCAGTTGCTCAGCTGTATCTTCCTTCTGATCCTTGCGAGAGGCCAGCGCTTGGGAGAGCGTTTGGCAGTCGCCATCGCTGTAGAGAATCAAAGCCTCCTGGGTGGTTTCCACTAAGTGAGCTATGCTTTTTTGAAACTAAAAATGAAAAAAAGTGGTAATAAAGATAATCAATGGTATGCGTGGTTTCTTTACCTTTAGTCTTTTGCATTTGGCAACATCTGTGGTGTCCACATCCCAAAGACGCAGAGAGTGGTTTCCAAAGACACCCACATATTTCTGGCTGCTGGGATCGTAGATAACCTTGGAGGAGAGCTTTTCAGGCAGGGACCAACTAAGCAACTGCTTTTGTGTGCTGATCTGCAAGGAATTGTTTTTTTTTTAAATACATAAGTTCACTTTGTTTAACGGCGAAAAACTCACATTTAAAACCACTACCACATTGCGCGCCAATGTGGTCACCACGTTGCCCTTTTCCTTGTCAGAAGCCAATCCCAGAAACTCATTGGGATCTGGTATGGGGAACAGGTTGTAATAGGATAAGAACTTCGACATTGTTTGTGCAACTTGAAAACAATTGCAACACGTGCAGAGCGGCCAAATAGGGATGGGTTAAAGGTATATCGATTAATTGTTTTGGTTAAACAAACTATGATATATATTTTAAAAGTGAAATGCCTAGCCTTCATAATGCAATACACACATTATTTTATGTTTGTGTATACGTTATTTCTCCGAATGCATGCCAATTTAACGACTATTAATGTTCTCACATCTCTGGAGAACGTTGGTTTGTTTTGGTTTCTAGTATTTAAAATACCAACAAGAAAAGCTGCCAGACCGCCATATCTTAGGAGCAGTAGGCGTTGCCGGACCTGCCACGTGCTATCGATAAGAAGAAGACCAAGAAGAAGAAGAAGAAGAGAAATGGGTGGAAAGACAAAACAAGCGCCGCGCACCAAAAATAATGCAAAGGTAAGGCGTAATTGGTCACAAATATAGTATTTAACAATGCCGTTATCCCCCAACCACCTAGCCCTCGAGCAGCAGCCGCACCGCCGAGCTGCTGGGCAGTTCCACGCCAATTTTCGTGGGTTTCTCGGCGCAGGCGGACGGACTGGTGCCATTTGCTCCGGGATTTGCCAGTGCCGAGCAAATGCCAGAAAGCTTTGACGCGGCTATCGACCCGCAGACTCAGATCATCCTGCGCAAGCTGTCCAAGAAGGATCCCATGACTAAGAAGAAGGCTCTGCAGGAGCTTCACGAACTGATCGAACAGTCGGATGTAGAGTCCCTGAAGAATATTCTACCGCTGTGGCCAAAATACTACCTGAACCTGGCCAGCGACCCAGAGCATAATGTCCGAGAACTATCGCAAACTGTGCTGCAGTTGCTCATGGCCAAGTGTAAGAAGGCTATGGCTCCGTACTTAAAATTGCTCGTGCCCGTTTGGCTGGGCAGCCGATTCGATACCTACGCTCCTGCCGCCAGCATCGCCGGCCAATCCTTCCGAGACACCTTTGCTGGCAATGCCAACCGCACCCGGGAGGTGTGCCTGCACTGTCAGGTGGAGATCCTTGAGTACGCCACGCGCAATCTGACCTTCCACACAGCCGCCACTTTGTCGATCGGCAAAAGCCTTACGCCAGAGGAGGCAGAACAGAAGTACCAGCGCGTGGTTATCAGCAGCCTGAAGCTGTTATCCTTCTTCATGGAGCAAACAGCGCAGACGGAGGAGCTAAGCCAGGTCAAGGAGGGATTTGTTACGCTGGTGGCGCACCAGAAGTTCTGGAGCTTTGCCAAGCACAAGGTGCCGCCCATAAAGTGAGTTAATGATTAGGTTATAACTCATGTTTCAAATAAATTTTTATTTTTGTCTTTTAGAGCTGCCTGGTTTGAATGCATCTACCATGTCCTGCAATCGGTTGCCCTGTTGGAGGTAATCTCGAACCAGAAGTCGCAACTGATTACCCTCTGTTTCCAATTCATCGACGACGCGGATCCTGTGGTGGCCCCCCACATATGGGGATGCGTTTTGCTGTTACAAAATAACTACGAAGATTGGTGAAACCCCAACTCTATATATTTTTAGTTCATTTTAATTAATAGTTTTACCTTCCAGGTTTGTCCCTCTCAACATTCGCAAAGCATTCCTTCCGAAACTTTCGTCCCTATTTCGTAATGGATTTAATCGCAACGCCCAAGCCGTCTGTCCCAATCTGCTCCCATTCCTGTCTAAAATCACACCTGCATCCCTTCAAGACCTGGATATCTATGAATTTTATGAGCGCTTTTTTGACGACATGAAGCTGGCGGTCACGGAAAAATTCGATCCACCGCTGCCTAAATCCGATTGTACTGTCATTCACAATGCCTATTTTGAGTGCCTACGCTTTCTGCTGCAGCAGATTAACAACCACAAGGAGCGAGAACAAAGGGTCGACGATTTCGCATCAAGCTTACTCCAGAACAACGTACTGGAACCCATTGGAGGGCTGCTGAGAAGCGAAAGTGCGCACGTAAAAATATTCTTTCAACACAGTTCTGCACTGGTAGCGTTTTGGGATCGACAGATTAACAATAAATTGGATAACGGCGGCCTATATGCCAAGTTGCTGAACCAGTTTTGGACGCGCATCTTCGAGCTGGTCACCCACGACCTTGCTGCCGAGGAAGTGAATGAACAGTTGCTTTCACATGTCGTGCTCTTAGTGCAGGATCTGCACATGGCTAATCCTAGTCTTGAGTCGCCAAGTGTAAAGTTTGTAGAGGATCAAGACGGAAAGGTGGAGAAAAGTGAACCTACGACACCAGTTAAAAAGGCTCAAGAAGCTGCAGCTTTCATACAAAAGGAACTCAAACAATTGGTTGTAAATCTGGTGAAAATTTGCCTCGACAAGGCCAAGAACAGTGGAAGTGGTAGTTCATCATCGCGTTACATTGAACAAGTTCGCACCCTTACCAAAATGTTTACCGATGCTGCGTTTTACAAGAGCTTTACAGATGTTGGAGACCTGGAAGAAGCGCTTAATAAATTTGTTTCACTTCTGGGCCAACTGAGCGATGACGCTAGTGAATTAGTCGTGGAAATCGTGTTTGAAATTCTCCCGCTGCTGGAGTCAAAGCAACGCTTTGAATACATTGAAAACACCCTCCTAAAGGTAAGCTGCTATTTTAAAAGTTTAAATGGATTTTAAGTAATTCAGTAAATTATTCTCTATAGCTCAAGCAACATCGCGTGCAGAACCTTCTGCTTCACCGTCTATTGTCTTATCCACTGTGTACAGAGCCCGACGTAAGGCAAATGCTGAGTGGTTCGGAAACTTGTGGCGTGATTGCGCGGATTGCCGAGGAAGTAGTTGTTGACAATGATCGGGAAAAGCTGAACTTGTTGCACAAGTGCTTCTTCCAAACGGACACGGGAGACATACTCATCAATGCTGAAACAGTGGATAAAATTCTTCTGGCCATGTGCGGTCCCCTAGATCAGCCAGTTGTTGATGATATGGTGGAAGTGTGTGGTAGCTTTATTGCCCAGATAATGCCTGTGATTTGCAGCAACGAGAACTCTTCGTTGCAAGTGCGCCAACAGATATTCCTTAAGCTGTTTAAGTTTAGCCTAGAGCATCGCCCGGAAGATTATTTGTCGGAGGATACTCTGTGGGAAATTACAACCTGCTGGCAGGATGCACTGTCAAGTAAAGACATCGAAATCGATAATGAAATGCTTAAGAATTGTGCGGGAATTGTAGAAGATTTGGCTTACTCAGCAGACCTTAAAGCAGAGAACCTGGATGGCATGGCGGAGGCAATGGCGAAGTTTGTCATTTGCTCAACAGAAAATATTGAGGATGAGAAGAACCGCTTGGAACGCATTGATGAAACTATAGCGGCTCTTCTGGAATCCCCCTAAAAACATCCGAAAAGGTTGTACAGTTTGAGAACCATTGCGTGCTTTTGGAAGCACTGCAAGGCTCTGTCACTCCGGGAGTTCCCTTCAAAAACGCTTCTTTCGCCAACGATAAAATATTAGCATTACTTCAACGTTCCACTCTTAACTTTTCCACAATATACAAACTTGTCTATCAATTTCCCCCACCACAAGACACAAATAATCCAGAAGATGAATTGACGGAGGACTACTGTGATCCAAATGCCGATGTGCTTAAAAATTGGAGCGAGCCCTTGATTTCAGAGCTCTTACAGTGCATTCGAGTGGCTGGCACAGCGGAAAGTTGGCTGCAAGTATCGGACTTGCAATCGTCGACTGAAGAATTAGTGTTGATCCTGTCGGAAAAGGTTCAAAGCTTTATGGGCAACAGTAGCGATCTGGTTGGAATTGTAAAGGAGCGTCTTCAACAGGCTGCGGTGCTGCAGCCCAGCGTAATTGCATGTCGTCTTCTAAGTTACATTACTTTTTGTCCTCAATATGCGGCTTTCGAAGAGAGTGCGACCATTCTGCTGCACGAAGACCTTTCAGAATTTTTGGTAACGCAGGGAGCCCTAAAGACCTATGTGATGGCACTACAGGTAATTGTTTTTAATTAGGCCTAAGAAAATACTGAAGTAATTTTTCTTTTACAGTTTCTTTTGCCAAAGCTTTCTCAAAAAGCCATCGGCTTGAATTCGGCTATCATGAGAACAGAGCCACCCGAGGTTTGGGTTAAAGCCGCTGTTTTCCGTGCCCTTCTCCTGAACAATTTTGAAGCCGAGGTAAACGAGCAAACAGATCGCAATATAATCGTATCAGCCGTGCAGTTTATGACCAGCATCGCGGAAAAGCAGGCCAGCCAAAAGGATTTACTGCATTACAATGTGTAAGAGCATCACATTTAATTAAATGTTCTTAAATTTATTAATTAATTAACGCGAACGTTTTCCAGGGAAATACCTAAACAACCCTACGAATCAGTTTTAGATACAGTGGAGCTCATCAAACTCCTAACTGAAGTTCTGAAACGGTTTCCTTATGAGCTCAGCATAAAAAACTGGGATGCCATTCGCATAGGTCTGAGTTCTTGGGTGCTCTCTGTTTCCAAATCCATAAACCAATTTAATGATCCAAAGGTGGGTTAAGCTTAACTTGCTATTTGAAGATTTGTTTATAAATTGTGTTTAATTGCAGACTGCTCTCTTTGTGGTTGCGGTTTATCAATTGTTTGCCACCTTGATTGAATTTATACGCTCTGAAAAACAAAAAAGCTCAACAGAATTACTCAAAAACATGATTGACGAGTGGGATTCCCTGTTTGCCAAGGAAGTCAATGTAGTGCTGTTTAAGTCATTTTATCAATTGACCCATGAGACGAGTGTTGAGCCTGGATTTCAGGCATGCTATGAGGCTTTGCTGGAACGTTTAACTCCAACCCTAGAGCTGCTGGATTACAGCTTTGTTTATGCGGTATTTATAGACACAACACAACAGACACAACGACAGCCTCTTCTAAGTCTTTACAAAACAAATATATCTTGTACATTTTAGTTCTGCAAGACAAACAGTAAAATTAGTTTGGACCACCTCTGCAACTTCCTCTTCAAACAGCTGTACAGTTCCCAGCACTCGGTTCGACTGAGTGCGGTTCACTCTCTTCGCCAATTAACACCACACTTTGTGGCCGATGACATAGAGTTGAATGAAAGGCAAAGCGAAAGTCTCGATGCCACAACCACGATCTCCAAGTGGCACTTCCTCAACCGCTTTGAGGACTATCTGACGCGCTACGATTCCCTGATAAAAAAATACCTGGAGGAGTTCTCTTTCAAGCTCACGGAGCTGGAGGATCTGGAACCCATAGACAGACACGATGCACTCAGTTACCTTTTCCTGTGGGACTGCATCATAAATGCATGCGCCAAGTCTCCCGTTGCATTGCGAGCTGTCTACACCAATTGGCTTAACGACAACAAATATGAAGAGGTTGGAAAAACATTACATTAGTATTACTATTGATTTGGGTGTTACACTATGAAATTTCGCATACACTTCACAGAACTTCCTGCACTTCCTCTTCCGCGCGATGCCAGTGGACATACTTAAGAATCATGGAGCCAAGGTACACAGCAACGGCGTCTATAAGGAGCTCACTTGGTCTCAGCTGAAGGGTAAGCTCGCCCCAATTTAAGCAATTATGGTGTCCTCTGACATTTCGGTATTGAGAACGTCGGGCAAGTAGTCCTCCCCATATCCGTAATCGTGATACTCGACGGCTCCTTGCTCAACGTCCTCCATCATTTCTTCTAACCCTGGTTCGTCAGATAGAGAAATAAAGTCCGACAAGGGAACAAACTGTTCCGGATCGGTCTCTGCCATCATCTGTCGTTGGACGGGTATTTGTTGCGGCGCCAAGTAAATGTTCAGGTTCGATATGAACTTGTTGATCCAAACGGTCAGGTTGTTAGCCAATATCCGCTGATACTCGCGTAAATTACTGGTCGTGTAGAACTCTTGATCTGTCGGGAACATTGTTTAAAAGTGAACTTTATTTGGTTATTGTTTCTGTTTGGACTCACCTGTGAACTCTCGAAGCCTCTCAAGAATCACGCTGCAAAGAGGAGAGTTTTCATCCACAATAAACTGGTCGTTGAGCAGAAAGTCCTTCATTTCCTCAAAAAGGACGCAAACTATTTTCTGCATCTGCTTGCGCTGACGCAAAAGGATGCGCTTCTTGAGACTCTTGCAGCGTCGCTTGTGCACCTGCCTCGCCGCCCTTCGCTGACGCATCTCCTCCTCCATGTACTCTAGCGCCTTCTCCATGGTCATGGCTTCCACCGGCGGCTTGGGTTTCATCTGGTTCTCCAAAGCGGCTATGTGGCGCGGCGAGAGGTACTCCTTGAAGAAAGTGTAGGTCTCATTCACTCGCATCGGATGCGGATCGGCCAGACGTTCCACTCGGGCTGTGCATTGGTTTACATAGATCTTCTTTGTGTAGTAGCGCGCTTGCTTCCCAAGCTGTGGAGACGAAAAGTCTTTCTTGGGCGTAGCCAGAAAACATATGTGCTCCTCCCGGGACAAAACGTCCCGGTCGATGATGATCTGTCCCGTGTGCTGGCATGGCACATAGCAGGGATGGTAACGGGGACAGACGCAGATGAACCTGTAGGTCAATGCATAAATTTGCGACTTTGAATAAGAAAATTAGAACATTTTAAAAACGGTTTTTAAATGTTTACTAAAAGAGCAAAGGATTAATCCTTGAAAAGTAAGAAATTTGGTTGTAAACTTAATGACACTAACCTGTACAATGCCTGCGTATCGTGGGGTGGGTACTTGACCAGGCGACGGATCCGTTTAGTCCGAGCCTCACGCACGTGAACCATTGCCAGACGGGCATTCAGCTCGTCCGCCACGGTGGGTCCCTCATTAAGGGGATCCTCATCCTTATGCTCTTTGCGCGTGTCGCACTGCGTCTTTAGGAAGTTGATAGCCTCGGCCACCGAAACCTTTTCGCTCTCAAGCTGGATGCGCTTGGGCGGCGGCATTTCGGAAGCTATGTTTTTAAAATTTATCGGCGTGGTCATGTTGTCAAAATAGTGGGAATCCGAACAGAATGAAAAACTATTCAATAAACCGAACGACAGTGGACGATCGACTCAAGCGAACTGCTCTCTATAAATACATTAGACAAACAATGTTTGACCTATCGGAAAGCCCCCAAAAATGTATGTTCTCAGCCTGGATTGCTTTGATCAATATATTTGTATTTCATTTCTTACAGATCGTCAATTGACCCTAGAGCGATATGTGTGCCACTTGTATACAGAGGTGCTTCGCAAGCTGCCGGCCGTTGTGCGCCGGTGGTGGAACACCACCCCGTCCAGGCAAAAGAACTTCGTGGACAACCTCACAACCAACTACGTCAGCTCGCTAATCTGCAGTGAGGAGCTCAAGGCGATCGCCAATCGCAAGGAGAAGCACGAGAATATGCAGGTGAGCGGCTTTGCATTGAACCTTCCGACTTCCGACTCCTTTTTAGGGTAGATCCGGGGCGCTCAGTCGCAAGGCAAAAACCACGGTGATGCTAACCAGCAGTATAACGATGACAATGATGCGGAAGATTTCAAGGGTCACCATTTTCGTGATAGAACGTATTTATTCTTGTTGTATCATTATTGAGTCCTAAACAAGCATAGACTACTGGACTTGTAGTTCAACCGAGTTATTTCATTGAATGAGCAATAAACCACGAAATAATTTGTATAAATAGATCGAAACTGCTAAACTGCATTGATTTTAATTACGGTTTCTTTAGGTGACTGTTCACTCCTCCACTCGTGAGGTTCTGGCTGTGTATGCCATCGACGAGGCCCGAATGGAGCTGGTCATAACTCTGGCCCCCAATTATCCATTGGGAGCGGTAAAAGTCGAGTGCGGCAAGCAAATTGGTGGACGGGCTTCCTCTCGAAACGTGGGAATGCAGTTAACTATCTTCCTTACACATCAGGTAATTCTTTATACATAAATAAAAAGGTGACATTTTAATGGTAAACGTTGACTTACTTCCATGCAGAATGGCACCATTTACGACGGCCTGACCATGTGGAAAAACAATCTGGACAAGAAGTTCGAGGGCGTGGAGGAGTGCTATGTGTGCTATACAGTCATCCATCAGGACACTTGCCAACTGCCCAAGCTCACGTGCAAAACCTGCAAGAAAAAATTCCACGGACCTTGTTTGGTAAGAATGTCATAGTTTTTCCACTTTTTTCAGACCCAATATTAATGTCCTTTTTTGTAGTACAAATGGTTCACCACCAGCAGCAAATCCACGTGCCCCATTTGCCGCAACGTCTTCTAGATAAAAAATATACCTCTGTGTGTATACAAATGCCAGCTAAATCTTTAGTTGACCCCACGTATTAAGCAAAAGGCACAACCAAACCGTTCGATGTAGGCAATAGTTTCTGGTCTCTCAAATTGTAAATCAGCAATAATAATAAATTCTAACAATGTTTAATTGTACTTGAGTTAAGTTCAGGGATTGAAATTATTTGATTGTAAATAATACAATTGCTTATTAAACTTTAAGAAAAAAAATTATAGAATTAGACATCTATAATAATGAGAGTTGGAGTAAAGCTAGGTACACACGATGCAAACAATTTGCAGCAAGTTGAAAATAATTTGCAGCAAAAGTTTGCACAAATGTTTACACGTATGCAAATATTGCAAGAAAATTTCTTGCTTCAATCAATTTTTGTTTTGCACGCAAACTTTTGCATGGCTATTTCGTGCAATGTATTGCGTTAATGTCTACAGGTGTTTTTATTTTTTGTTTGCAGTGCTTGCAATTGACGCTCATTTGCAAGTTCTCTTGTTTTGTGAAAGTCAAAGAATAACGACGTGTTAATATTATGTCGTCATTTAAATCGAGAGTTGCTGCTGTTGCAATATTAGCAATTTTAATTAAACGTAATAAAATGAGAAGATTGAAGTCTGCAAAAAATAGAAAGTGTTGGGTGAAACAGTGGATTTCGAAAAGAGATGAAAAAGGAGTGCATCAGAACCTTTTAAAAGAACTCCAAAATGGCGATGAAACAAATTATTACAATTTTTTTCGCATGTCAGTCAGTGATTTCAAATTTTTATTAGAAAAAGTAAAAAGCTACATAACTAAACAAGACTCTGTAATGCGTCCTGCGATTCCCCCAAATGAGCGATTAGCCCCGACATTGCGTTTTTTAGCCACGGGTATGTATTAAATGTAATGAGCATTTTTATAAACTTTTAATGAATATGTTTATTAAATTTTAAATTTTTTTTAAAGGTGATTCATATCATTCTCTGATGTATTTATTTCGCATTCCTGTGAGCACGGCTGCAAGCATTGTGCCGGAGACTTGTCGAGCTGTATATAATTGCCTGAAAAGGGAATATCTTAAAGTAATTATGTAAATTAAATATGCATTTTCCATTTTACCATCCGAAAAGGCAAAAACTGGAGAATTGGTAGACGAGTACACGATATTAGGCGTGGAAGAAGACACGTTTATCTTCGGTATCAGTTTCTGCTACTTCCAAAATAGCTCTTTGAATTTTCCTGCGAAGCCGAACTCTACTTTGCTGTGATTTTAAAAGTCTTAGCTCAGATGCAACGAAATCACCGAATATTTGATGTTCATCTGTCTTATTACGTAAGCGCGCCTTTTCAATAAGCAGATCTTCGTCCTTAAATTCGAGCTCGTCACGCTTTCTTTTTTTGCCTTTGGATGTACTTGGTACGTCATCAGATATCGAAAAATTAGGCGAACATGGTGCCTCTCCTAACATTGTGTTAACGGCGCTGTCACTTAGATCCTGAATATATGTATATGAAAAAGTGTAAAATAAAAATGTTACGAAATATTAATAATTTATTTGAATTTTCTTAGGTTCCCAATTCTACAAACGAGTGGCTTAAAATTTCATCGGATTTTGAAAGTATTTGGAACTTTGCTCATTGTATCGGTGCATTAGACGGAAAACATGTACATAGTTATGAAAGCTCCGTCTAATAGTGGAAGTACCTACTTCAACTATAAGGGCACGCATAGCGTTGTGCTAATGGTGTTAGCAGATGCAAACTATAAAATAATTTATTTCGATGTGGGAGGCAAAGGAAGAATTTCTGATGGAGGAATTTTTAACGCATGTAGCCTATCATATGCGTTACAAAATGAACAACTTAATGTTCCTGAGGAGCAGCCACTTCCAGGTCGAGATTTAAAGGTGCCCTATGTACTTGTAGCGGATGATGCATTCGCATTGAAAACATACATAATGAAGCCATATCCATTCAAAAATCAACCAGCTCCAAATCGTGTTTTTAACTACCGTCTTTCCAGAGCAAGAAGAGTGGTAGAAAAGGATTTTGGCATAATGGAAAATAGATTTCGGGTTTTGAGAAAGCCATTGGAACTTGGCCCAGAAAAGACAATAGATGTTGTCTCTGCAATTTGCGCATTGCATAACTGGTTGATGGCCAAGAAAGAGTCAAAACAAAAATATGCTCCGAATGGAACATTCGATAATGAAGTTGATGGGGAAGTGGTACCAGGAACTTGGCGTAAAGATCTGACGTTAGAAGGAAACTGCATACCAATTCAAAGAAGTACGCAAAACTCTACTCAAGCGAAAGATATACGGTAAGAATTTAAACATTTTTTTGTTTCGCCTGATGGTGAAGTGTCATGGCAATACAAACATATATAAAATAAGTAATTACTACGATATGTTTATTAAATTGTACTACTTACCAAATTTTGAATTTTATAATTTTTTCCGTCGTCACTTTTTATAAATTTGAGCGCATCGAAAAACTCCCATTTGCTGGTATAGTTGTCCGATGTACCCTGGCCACTCTTCTTTTGTTTCACCCTGCGCACCTCTTGCAAAAATTGAGTACGCAAATTATGAATTTTTGTTTTTATCTCTTCATCCTTTTTGCCTAACTCTTCAGCAATTTCGCAAAAAGCATGTTGCTTCTTATGCTTGTTTTTGTAATCTTTTGAAGAGACATCCCATAAAACGGAACGAATCTCATATAATTCAATTAATTTTATTGTGTTCTCGCGATCCCACATGTTGCTTTGCTTGCTGCAATATTGCAATTGAAAGCAAACAGCACATGCAAACAAGCAAGCGACTGATGCAATAAAGATGGCGGTAAAAAAATGTCTACAGACGACAAGCAAAAAATATTGCTGCAAAAAAACTGTGCAAGTTCTTTGCTTGCAGCAAAATTTGGTTGCAGCAATCAACTTGCTGCAAATTGTTTGCATCGTGTGTACCTAGCTTAAGGGTACAAAAATTAAAAAACAAGTAAGCTTGTAACTATAAGTTTGTAAACTTGTTCAGTTCTCATTTTGAGCCACACAGAAGACCACATACATTTCTACGATTATCACGATATTTTATACGCCCATAGCTGAGAACTATGGGGACAATAATGAAAATCGTGGGGATATGTCCATATTGCAATCGCCATGTGTCAAAAGACCTGAGACCTATTAACGTTTTGTCTGCAAGTGATGCCAAAAGGATTTCCCAATTGGTACACGAAGAACCCCCTCTAATTCAGCTCGACTCCCAGAATGAAATAGAGGAACACCCTCGAAAAGAGCAGACGGCCCATGAGGATCCTAGATCGAAGAAAGAAGTGGTTGGGACATCTAAATCCAAAAAATCGCGGGTCTCAAAGAAGAAGAAAACAATTCCCGATAAATCCCAGTCGGAGGTTCCTGTTGACGCATCACCTGAAAATTCTTTAAACGCGTTGACTGAAAACATTTTGGATGTGGTCGAGAACGAGTTTGAGGGTGACAGAACTATCAGATCATCTGTGGTCTTAAGGGAGAACGCCGAGGTTATCCTGGCAATGTTGGCCGAAGAGAAGCGAATCATCGACGAAATCGAGATGCAGGCAACGCCTGTTGGACACCAGGAGACTAAAGATCCTCCTGCTAAAAGACGTAGGTGCTAGGTGCAAGAAATGCTATGGCATATCAATTGTAAATTTGTTGGGGCGCCCACGTGCTAACCGTATGGTTCTGTCCACCACCCGCAGAAATAAATCTCCCTTTTTGCGCCTGCGCCGTGGCGATTCAACTTCCTTGGGGTGGGGCCATCAGCACATGATGACTCGATTTCGCATCGGTTTTGCTCAGTATTGCAGTTTTGCAAGCTGCTAACTGGATTACACACGCCATCGACTCATCCAACTGGACAGTGGGTTCCACAAGATGACGTAAGCTCCATGCTTATATGATGAGCCCCCGGGAACTGAAACTTGGCCAGCGTGTTGAGGTAACGGGTAAAAATCTTCAGGGTAAGGTTGCCTATGTGGGACGCACTAATTTCGCCGCCGGACTCTGGTACGGCGTGGTTTTGGACGAGCCGCTGGGCAAAAACAACGGAAGCATCGATGGCAGCATTTACTTCAAGTGCCCCACCAACTGTGGACTCTTCGTGCGCGCCCAGCAGCTGGTGAGGATTGCCGAGTTGCCGAAGGGAGTGGACAATCGAAAAACCGATGAAATGCAACGCGACGGGGCCAGAACAAAACTCTCGAGGCGGAGTGGCGGGGGAAGGTCCGTGGATGAGCAGGTGCGTAATGCAAGTCGAGAGTTGCAAAACAGGAATGTACGTATTACAACTACTTTCTGTAGGACAACCCAAGGGAGCAGGTGGCCAGCACATCTGGCAAGGCGAAGGCGACTCCTTCTACTCCGTCGCCACAGCACAGGAGCAGGAACAGCCAATCCCCGAGGGAGCAGACATTAGCCAAGACCTCCGGCAAGTTTTTGGCGGCCCAACAGCAGCCATTACAGCTTCCAAAGGTGAGTCAAAGGAATCCGGGTAACTAAGCATACGCGGAATGTAGGTCAACCAAAACCAATATTCAAATTGGTTACTTATTTTGGGTATTTGGGTATACATTTTTATACTCATCAGTAGGGGCAAGACGGGTGTATTGACTTTGTTCAAAAGTTTGTTACCGGATACCGTAGATATATTTTTGAATTTAATTGTCACATGAGCCAATCCAGCCGTTTTTCTGTCTTAATTTGGGATTGTACAGGCAGTTTAAGTTGGTGTCGAAAAGTTTCGAAGTTTCAGATTTTGTGGTATACGAATATTAAAAGTAAAAGTTAGCTGTCTGTCTATGTAAATACTCCGATATGTTTAAAATCTGTATGTTTGAGCTGAGAAACACAGTTCTCAAAAATTGGAATTCAATATTACAGTTTTGCCGATCTTTAACCGATTTTTTTTATAGGGTAGCTGTTAGTTGGGTATTCCTATTTGTAATTGCTTATTTTAAAGTACTTTGAAACAAAATATGTAGTTTTATAAAGAAGATATCACGATATATGAATTGTGTTACTCATATTTTTTCCAGAATCCAATTGTGGCTGACGGCAATGCAAGAAATTTGAAAGCGGACGAAGTCAAGGATGTAAACATGTCTCCCAGAAAGACATCGGATGCGGAGCGACCAAAAGAGCTTCCCAAGGAGGAACCCAAGGACTTAGCCCAGCAAACAAAGAAGGAAAATGAGCCAGCAAAGCAGGTGGAAGAGACCCAAAGGAGCGAGGCAGTCAATCCAAAACCGGAGGCGCCTGCTAATCCGCTCCAAACAAGCATACTCGGGGAATTGCCGGCACAGAGGCCCAGTGCTCAGTTGATACCGCCAAATATGACCTGTAACCAGAGGCGATCCACATCGTACACCCAGCTGAGACCGACAAGGATCAGCCAGCCGAAGCCGACCACAGCACAGGCCCAGAGCTCCACGGCCCAACTCACTTTGGCCATGCCGGTGCCCCTGGCGTTGGCCCCCAAACGCAGCAAGACCAGCATGAGTCCCACGAGCTCGGTGAAACGAGCTGCACCAGCAGCCTTCGTGGAGCCGCGCTTCCTGGAGATCCTGCGACCTCAGTTCACCCCAGGACCAGCTCTGAGGACTCCTAGTTCGGTGGCTCCGCCCTTGGACAATCCCGAACTGCGACAACTGCGGGAGGAACTTCAGCTGCTGAGGGGACAAAAGAGCGAGGACAAGCTGAAGCTTCTGGAGCTGGAGAGGATGCGGATACACAACGAGCAGCTGATGGAGTTCAAGTCGCAGATCATGACGCAGCAGGTGCTGCTCCAGAGGGAGCTGCAGAGATCTCGCCACGAACTGAGGGAAGCCCAGGACGCTTCAACCAAATTCAAGAGGGAGTTGGACGAGATAGCCGAGAGCATAGAACTGCTCACTCTGGACAAGGAAATGGCGGAGGAGCGGATGGAGACCCTGCAAATGGAGCTGGAAATCGCCCAGGAGAGAAACGACGAACTGACCCTGGATGTGGAGATCCTGAAGGCGGAGCAGGAGGAGCAGCAGGGTCAGCGGATCGAGAAGAGTGAGAAGCACACCGGTGTGGGGGTCACTACCCAATCCCCCGGCGAGTTCCTTCGCCTGGAGCAGTACAACCAACGCCTCCGCGAGACAGTGGTTCGTCTGAGGGACACGCTCGCCCAGGAGAAGCAGATCGGCCAACGAACGCACAAGGAACTCGAGACCAAGCACTCGGAGATCAACGAGCTGAAGAGCATCAAGGAGTTGCTCAGCCGGCGGGTGGACAACATGGAGGTGCAGCTCATGGACCTGAAAGAGCAGGTGGACGCTTCTCTCGGAGCAGAAGCCATGGTCACCCAACTGGCTTCCCTGAAACTAGAGCTCGAAGACCGAGTCAAGCTACTGGAGGATGAAGTCAACGAACTGGAGGCTCTGGAACAGATCCAGGAGCAGCTCATAGAGAGCAACCAGGAGCTGGAAACCGATCTGCGCGAGGAGATCGACAAGCTGGGCAGCCAAGTGAAGATCTTGGAGCAGCAGAAGAACGCCGCCATGGAGAGTCTCTACGACCGCGATGTGACCATCATGAAGTTCCGGGATTTGGTGAGACAACTCCAGGAGCAGCTGCAAGTGCGGGCCGACGGCACCTTGTCCATCGAGGACTTCAGCAGCGCCAACGAATCGCAGCAGGAGGAGGGCTCCAACCAGAGCCAGACTGACTACCAGCACATCTTCAGTGTAAGCAAGGCCTACGGAAGGGCTCTGGAGCAGCAGATCAAGACGGTGGAACTGAGGCTGCAGCGCCAGCACCTGGAGCACGTCCTGGCCTTCGTGCCCGAACAGTTCCTTCTGCGCGGAGGGGAGCACGACGTGGTGCTGGTCATGCTCCTCCTCGAGAGGATGAACGAGAAGCTGACCATCGTGTGCCAGGCCATCAACGAGAAGTTCCCCACGGCCTGCGAGTTCGGTGAGTGGGTTTAGTTAAGGGGGATGTGGCATTACACAATATATTCTAAAATATTTGCATTTGAATTTATTATTAATCATAACATTAATTATAAACAAACAAAAAACGAAACAAAATCCTTTTGTTTATTGTTAATCATTGTTAATCAATACCAAAGTCGCAGGAAACTGCGTTCGTAGAACTCTTTTTTTTAAGATGAGTGAATGTTTGTATACAGATTAAACATTTTGGTTTTTGTATTATTTTAAGGTCGCGATGCCATCTTCGAGGGCTACTCCGTGCAGCGCTACATCTTCAGGTCGCAGTGCCTCTACCTTCTGAAGAGTCTCCAGTTGGTTCTCCAGCAGTTCCGCCACGGGCTCAACCACTGCGACTACGAGTTGTGCACCCATGCGGCCATCTATCGAAGTGATCTGGAGGCCCAGGAGCAGCAGCTCGACGAGTTCGTGCGGCTGCTGAAGACCGGGCAACTGGATGAGCACACGAACTGCGAGCCCATTCAGCGGGTGCTCCACTACGTGAGTGGACTGCACCAGAACCTGATGCCGCCCCAAGCCCTCGTGGAGCTCCTGGACGAACAGCAGCTGTACGAGGCTCTGATCGAGGTCTACGAGGCGGGCTTGGATGCAGTCAACGCAAACGCGGGCCTGATGCACACCATCATTCAACTGGGCCACGAGCAGACGGCCTCCTTCAGTTGCATGCAACTGCTGATGGAGCAGAGCTGCGCCCACAAGCAGAAGCTGAAGAAGCTCCAGAGGAAGCTGGGTGGCAGCAAGACGGCCTCCTGGACGGGAATGCAGTGTGCCAGGTACCAGAGAATCCTGGAGGCCAACGAGGCGCTGGGAGCCCTCATCCGACTGCTGGGTTCCACTGCCCGAGAGGCCAGCAAGGACTCCAATGGCGGAATCGCCCACGAGAAGTTGTGGCGGATGCTGGTGCTGAACTACAACAAGTTCGCGCCGAGCCAGGAGGTGGAGGAGCCCAGGGAGGTGGACGCCTACAGCCAGCGGTGCATGCAACTCCTGGAGGAGCAGTTGGACGAGCTCTTCACGCTGCTGGAGTCCACGGACGTGAACACGGAGTATGTGCGCCATCCCACCAGCAACACGCTGCAGGAACGGGCTGTCCAGGTGAAACGGCACTACGAGGACGTGAAGAACCTCGAGCTGACTGTCGCCGAGCGGGACAAGGAGATCAAGAGCCTCAAGTACATGGCCAAGATGAAGCAGCAGGACTTCTCGGAACTGCAGGTTCGCAAGGAGATGGCCGAGAAGCAGCTGAGCAAGCAGTGCCACGTTCTGGCCGGGTTCGCAGAGGCCGTAGAGCAGCTGGAGCAATCGATCCTGGCCAAGGAGGCGGCCCTCGGACAGGCGCTGAACATACTCGCGGACAAGATATCCATCCTGGAGCAGGCCCAGCAGCACTGGCAGGAGCAGCAAAAGGCGGACAGCGCCTGTGTGAGCAGCAGCACGAAGAGTTCCAACCGGGAGATGAACATGCTCCTCCAGGCCCTCCGGCAGGAGCGATCCCTGCGCGTCAAGCTGCAGGGCGGCGAGATGAGGAGGACGCTGGCCGCACTGGAGCCACTGCACGTTCCCCGAACCGAAAGCCAGGAGCTGGCCGACCTGGAGAAGGACCTCCGCTCGCTGAAGAACCAGTGGCTGCTCGCCCATCTGGAAATGGGCACCGCTGGCACTCAGCGCCGCTCGGAGATCGAGCTGCAGGGCAGCCGCATCCTGCGACATATCTTCCAGACATATTGCACTCAGCATCCGCATCGGGCCAAGAACACCGACTTCGGCCTCTTCATTACCGAGGATCTACGGCGAGCATTCGAGCAAAACTTCTAGTTATACGACTTAGCGTTCCAAGTGTATTTCGGTCATAACAAAGGTATATGTGATTCGCAGCTTATATAACTTGAATATACACAACAAAATAATTATTTGTACCAAACTAGATATTACATACGTACATATATACGATATATATGTAAAACTGTACAATTATATAGTTCATTTCGTGTTTATCGGGCAATAAACAAATTTACATTACTTAGACAAATTAAAGGAAACTTATTCTTTGAATGTCCAGCAGGGGGGAAAATGGTTGAAATATACTCGTAGTAAGATCTTGATACTCTTCTCCAAAACAGAAATTCATTAACATTTTGCTTTAAGAATTACATTAAAAAATCACATACAACAAATGAGGTACTGTACATATGAGTACATCCAACCTAAACAATTAATAGGATAGTAAATGGTATTTGGTATTATGTGGGAATCAGTGCATTATAGCTCTTTGTGGAATGATAACATGATTATTTTATGTTGCTTTTCTACCGAATGACTTCGTTAAATTTAAAAACCAATCAAAAACACGTAAAAATCTCATTGTCGAGCACCCCCGACCGTGGCGTTCTTAAAATTCGTTTATTTGAAATTAACATTTTACAAAATATCAATATACATTTCTTTATGTACAAGTAGTTGGGCGAAATAGAGGCGCGCGGTTTGAGATGAGAGCGGCGCAAGCAGTTCAATAAAACGTAACGCTTATCACATGAGCACAGAATCGGGGAACCAGAGTGGGCGGTTTGGGGGCGAATATATAGTCGGATATTGGGTATATCGTGGCAAGATGGCGGCCGTATGGCATCGTTGTTGTGGTGCATCGTTGTCGTTGTGGGTTTACATAAATACGTTTAATGTTTAATGAGAAGAAGATTGGATTTGAGGCTATTTACAGTTGCTGAACGAACAGAACAATTTGCGACCTGTGAAGAGCTGAAAACATAATTATGATCAAAATATGATGTCCGAAGACTTTGTACTGCTCATATTTTTCAGTTTGAATAACTTCTCATGGAGGTTATATTTTTTAACCAAGTTTAGATTTATACGAGATTTTTTATAGAAACTGTGTTTTATGTCAAATTTTAAATATTTTTACTATTAGTTGCCTGTGCAATTTTAAAAAAGTGTAATTATATTTTATATAGAATATAAACATATAACCTCGACATTTCTTAAAATAAAAATGCTTATGCTTTTTGATTTTATATTTAGATTTAAGACATGACTGATATTATTGAAATGCCCCAAAATATACGGTTAGAAGATTTAAAAAAAAATGTAAAATTTCTGATTTGTGATCCCTACTGTACGTGTTACAGACTTTCTTTAGAAAGGTTTTTACCTGTTTGGCTAAGCACTCACCTCACGACTTGGCTTCCGTCTGGCGCTTGGCCACAATTTTGCCCTGATCGCGACTGTTGATGACCTCGGCATGGAAGCCCGTCTCCCAGTCGGCGTAGTACTTCACCGTGCGCACATTGCCGTCTGGCTCCACCAAGGAGTACTCCCCCTTGACCACATCCCCGTCGCGCTCCTCCTTCTGGTGCTTGTTGTCACCCGTGTGGGGATCGTTTACGGCGTACTCGAAGGCATAGCGGGGATGGGCATCCTGGAGGAAACTTGGTATCTTAAAATTCCATGTTAATGGAGAGATCATGGATAACTCACGAAGTGCTCCAGGTGCTTCTCGGGCACCACCTTCAGCACTGCGTGCTGAGCCACCGGGGCCGACTTTAGGTATGCGGTGGCTGCCACGGGGGCGTGGCTGCTTAGCACTGGCACACTTGGGGCATAGCGGTAGAATCCCGCTCCCAGTGGGCCGATTCCACCCACTCCGTGCGAGTATCCGCTCAGGGAGGAGTCCAGATGGGCCAAAGAGGGGGAGGAGGCGGGGCCCAGACCAGATCCGTGGGAGAGCAGTCCATGGTATGAAAGGGCCGGAGATACAGCTCCATGCCCTAAGGAGATGGCTCCATAGTAGCCATCACCGTGACCCGCTAATCCATGTCCCAAGTTACCTGAAAGAAAATGAATTCGATTTTTAGATTTGTCTCATTATGGAAGGGTCTGGTGTATAACTTAATTTATGTAATGTTATACTAATGATTAAATGCTTCCAATAAATAATTCAGTTTAACAATGAGCTAGGTTAAGCAAAAACCAAAAACATTAATTAATCAGCATTTTAAGACAATCATTTTTATTTTTATACCCTTGCAGAGCAAAAGGTATTATAATTTCAGTCAGAAGTTTGCAACGCAGTCAAGAAGACACCTCAGACCGCATAAAGTATATATATTCTTGATCAGCATCACCATCTGAATCGAAATCTGTTTGTCCGTCTGTCTGTCTGTCCGTCTATCCGTTTTGCTTTAAACTAGTCTCTCAGTTTTAAAGCTATCTTGCTAAAACTTTCGCAAAACGTGTGTAATTATTTCACGCCGAATCGAAGTCGGCATGAACCGGATCGGCCGACTATATCGAATAGCTCCAATACGAAAGAATGAAATAAAAAATTCTCAGACAGCTGTTTTTGATCGGATCGACTTGATTTCTTTCAGATGTCATTTTCTAACTGCAATTGCATTTCGGATTAAATTATATCAAAATCGGATAACTCTATCAGATAGCTGCCATAGGAGAGATCAAAAAATAATGGAAAAAAAAATTATAACGTCATTGTTTTTAATCCCACGAGCATGATTTTTGGAACATCAAGTTTTTTAAATACTCTTCATTAAAGGAAATAAAATGCTAAAATATGTAGTTGTTTTTTATCAGACAATCATGATTTTTGAAATATAGAGTTTTCTCATGAATCTTGAGTTTCAAATTAAATTTCATCAATATCGGACGACTATATCATATAGCTGTCATATAAACAATATGGAAAACTAAAAGAAAAATCTTCATAGCTTCGATGTTGTTTAGCTTTTATGTATTTTGTTTGACATATTTAATGACTGCAAGTGTATATAAGCTTTGGCTTGCCGAAGCTAGCTTCCTTTCTTGTTTGTATTTGTTATGTTTAGTTCCTTGTCTACACCTCGATATTACAAAAAATGTAGCTCCTGGATTTTCCTGCCTACTTTTTTGAAGGCTTCTTTTTATCAGTTAAGAAAGTTCATAAATTTTTAAAAGAAATCCATACGTCGAGTGTACGTCGAGTTGAGTTTTTAAAAGATAAATTTAGATTGTTTACTGTTTTTTAATTAAGATAGTACATATTTTCTTTGTTGCTTTTTAAACTTGTTTAGCTACGACTTAGGGAAGTTTAAATAAAAGTATAGAATATTATAAATTTAAAATATATTTGATCGGGACGTTGTTTATATAAATACATTTTGTGAAACTATTTAACATGTTAAGACATTTTTAAAAATTTTATTATTTTTAATAGGTTAAATAAAAAAAACTTACCCGCGTGGATTCCGTAGGATGTGCTGCTGGCCAGCTTTCCTCCCAGGGAATAAGCTGGAGCAGTCGTCAACTTGGTCAGAGGAGCTCCAAGTAAGGCTCCGCCGTGTCCATGTCCACTGGCCCCGTATCCGAGTCCCACTCCCAATCCCAGTCCGATTGGCGAGGCCACCTTGGCGATGGCAGGACCAGCTGAAATGGCCACCGCTGGCTTGGAGACATACTGATGGGACACAGCGCCCGAACTGTATCCGGATCCACTGCCTCCGTATCCCGCGGCCACTTTAGCAGTTAAAAGGGGAGCGGCGGCGATGGCATGTCCGCCGGAAATGTGACTCACAGCTGGAGCAGCATAGGTGGCCACCTTGGCAATGGCGGGGGCAGCCGAAATAGCCACCGCTGGCTTGGACACGTACTGATGGGAGACGGCTCCGGAGCTGTATCCGGATGCACTGCCTCCGTATCCGTGGCCACTGGAAATGACAGGAGCCGCATAGGAGGCCACCTTCGAGATGGCAGGACCTGTGGAGTAGCTGGAGATGGTTGGGGCAGCAATGGTGGCGATTTTGGCGACGGCAGGAACTGCTGCGATGGAGGCCAGCGCTGGCTTGGAAACGTACTGATGGGAGACGGCTCCCGAGCCACTTGCTCCGTAACCATGTCCTGAGGAGTAGGAGGCTACTTTGGAGATGGAGGGACCAGTGGAGTAGGTCGAAATGGCAGGAGCTGCATAGGTGGCCACCTTGGCGGGCAAGGCGATGGCCGGCGCAGCAGGCAGGTAGGTCTTGGAGAGCACAGGAGCCACTGGAGCCACGGCGATCGCGGGTTTCGAGATGTACTGATGGGAGACGGCTCCTCCATGGCCTGATCCTCCGTAGCCGGTGGCAATCTTGGTGAGAGTGGGTGCCGAAGAATAGGTGGAGATGGCAGGAGCAGCATAGGTGGCTACTTTAGCGATTGCAGGAGCAGCAGCGATAGCCACCGCTGGCTTGGACACGTACTGATGGGAAACAGCTCCGGAGCTGTATCCCGAGCCACTTCCTCCGTATCCTGTGGCTACTTTGGCAACCACAGGAGCTGCGGAGTAGGTGGACACGACAGGAGCAGCATAAGTTGCCACCTTGGAGATTGCGGGAGCCGTGGCATATGTTGAGATGGCAGGAGCAGCATAGGTGGCAACCTTGGCTATTGCTGGAGCTGCCGAGATGGCTACCGCTGGCTTGGACACGTACTGATGGGAGACAGCTCCAGATCCCGAGGCTCCGTAGCTGGTGGAGAGCTTGGTGATGGCCGGAGCGGAGGAGTAGGTGGCCACCGCTGGGGCAGCTGCCGGATAGGCGGCCACTATGGGCTTGGAGACGTACTGGTGGGACACATCCGCCGCCTGGCTGTAGGCAACCTTGGTGAGAGTGGGAGCGGAGGAGTAGGTGGCCACGGCTGGAGCCGCGTAGGTTGCCACTTTGGCGATTGCAGGAGCCGTGGCATAGGTGGAGATGGCAGGAGCAGAATAGGTGGCAACCTTGGCGATTGCTGGAGCTGCCGAAATGGCCACAGCCGGCTTGGATACGTACTGATGCGAGACGGCCCCTCCATGGCCTGATCCTCCATAGCTCGTAGCGATCTTGGTCAGAGCGGGAGCTGCTGAATAGCTGGAGATGGCGGGAGCAGCATAGGTTGCCACCTTGGCAATGGCGGGAGCAGCTGCAATGGCCACCGCTGGCTTGGACACATACTGGTGGGAAACAGCTCCAGAACTATATCCCGAGCCACTTCCTCCGTAGCCAGTGGCCACCTTGGCCACCACCGGAGCTGCGGAGTAGGTGGAGATGGCAGGGGTGGAGTAGGTGGCAACCTTGGCAACTGCAGGAGCTACTGAAATTGCCACTGCAGGCTTAGAAACATACTGGTGGGACACGGCTCCCGATCCACTTGCTCCGTAACCATGTCCTGAGGAGTAGGAGGCTACTTTGGAGATGGAGGGACCAGTGGAGTAGGTTGAAATGGCAGGAGCTGCATAGGTGGCAACCTTGGAGATGGCAGGAGCAGTGGCGTATGTTGAAATGGCAGGAGCAGCGTACGTTGCCACCTTTGCGATTGCAGGAGCTGACGAGATGGCCACCGCTGGCTTGGAGACATACTGGTGTGAAACTGCACCCGATCCCGATGCTCCGTAGCTGGTGGAGAGCTTTGTGATGGCCGGAGCTGAGGAGTAGGTGGCCACCGCAGGAGCGGCGTAACTGGCCACCTTGGCGACGGCTGGAGCTGCAACCAGCGCCGGTTGGGAGACGTACTGGTGGGAGAGCGCTCCGGACGCAGTGCCTCCGTAGCCGGCAGCCACCTTAGTGATCGCCGGAGCAGCAGCTGGATAGGCGGCCACGATGGGCTTGGAGATGTACTGGTGGGACACCTCTGCCGCCTGGCTGTACTTGGTTATCGAGGGCGCGTAGCTGGCGGAGTATCCCGTTCCGTGGGAGGAGAGCAGAGAGGAGGTGGTGGCCAACTTGACGGCGGGGGCGGAGTAGGTGGACACCTTAGCAATCGCTGGCGCTGAGTACGAAACCGATGGCGAGTAGGTGGCAATCTTGGAGAGACCGGGGGAGATCTGGCCATAGCTGTAGGCGGGGGAGCTGTAGGTCTCCACTTTAGAGTAACCAGGAGTGGCCTTGGAGTACGTGTATCCCGGTGAGCTATAGGTCTCCACCTTGGAAGTCACTGGTGGCGCGTAGTAGGGTGCACTCGAAAGAGCTGGGGAGGAGTACGTGGCAACCTTGGATATCCCCGGGGTGGCCGAGCTGTAGCTGTATCCTGGCGAGGTGTACGTGGCCACTTTCGTGATTCCAGGCGCTGGTGGCAGGTAGGAGTTGTCCAGCTTGGTGATCGCGGGGGAAACCACGTTCTTCACCTCGATTCCGGATGGAACCACCGTTGCGTACTTGGCGGCTGGTGACTTGTCCGCGTAGGTGATCCCCGCTCCTCCGTACTCCGCCGACGGGGTAAACAGGGTCTTCTGCACCGGAGCAACGTACTTCTCGATCTGGGTGAGGCCCCCGTGGGACAGTCCCTCGATCCCGGCAGTCGACTGGTAGGAGGCCCCGGAACTGCCCACCGAGGTGTGCAGCAGGTGTCCGTTCTCCGAGTACGTGGAAATCGCCGGGCTCTGGCTGTACTTGGTCACGCCGGGCGAGATGGAGAACTTCACCTCCGCCGGCGGAGGATACGAGTATCCTGCCGGGGGTGCGTGAATACAGGGCACGATGGGCGGGGCCAAAGTGGGCGAGGGATCCGCCGCAGCCACTATGAGCATGCCCATCAGGGCCAACAAGTGGAACTGAAACCGAAAGGTGGGATTTTAAGCCAGTTTAAATGCTCACAAAATTATGATATTAAATATGGAAAATTATTTTAAAAGAAGCCGAAACTAATTACTGAAATCATTAAAATTACTGTACTTTTTATTCACACTTTCAAACAACAACTACTTCCATTATTAAGTACAAGTTATTATGTTTAAGAAGAATAAAATAATAAATAAAAAATAATATTATAATAATAATAAAATAATAGTTTTATATAATTTTTAAACTGGGTAACTAGGAAATCAAAAATTCATTTCGAAAGCTTTTTTAATCGCTAATGGGCAACAATTGTGAAAAATTTATCTGTATTAAAAAAAATCAAATTAATAGATGTTTAAATTCTTAAGTTCGATTGCGTTTGTGCTCTAATACAGCTTCATTTAAAGAATGCATTTTATCAACGAGATTAATCCAATGCGTAAATAAGTTCTGATACAACAACACTAAATAGCTAGTCGTTGCACTTATTTTTCCACGAAATAAGAAATTTAGTTTAATTAAACAATTTGTTTAACTAATTTGTTATTGAATAATTCCAACTGTAATAAGCTAAGTTATTTAAGTCCACAAATTATTCATAAGTCAGACCTGTGGGTTTTGATCTCTTAACATTCTACACAGTACAGGCATTGTTTCTAAATTATTTGGGACACCTAAGAAAGAGTTTAAATTAATATTTCCCTAAATTATTGTTTTCCAAAAATCCGCGACTTTTCCTTTTACTAGTTGCCAAGAACTAAGAGTTTTTCCATAAAATATAAGAAGGCTTTATTTGATTAAAAACTTTTATATAAAATATTTAGTGTGTATTTTTGAATTTTAAGTTGTTCAGCAATCATGAGATCCATATTTTATTAAGCAAAATAATGATTGAATTATTAAAATTTGAAAACCATTTTTATATAGATATATGAAGTTTTATAGTTGTTTAATTTTAAAAGTCAACTATTCCTTCACACATTGTCTTGTCGCTTCTCGTTTTTTAAACATATATTAAAAGGACGCACCTTCATATTTTCACTTTTAGAACTCTGCACGCGCGATAACTGGTTTTCGTTTGAAAGGATTCACGAACTTTGTAGAATCCTTGTTCAGTAACACACCATTTGCACTTTTCAAAAAAGAATTCACAAGCTTGCGATCCTTGATGGTTCGATTATAATTCGTGTGGGTTATCCTTGGGGGCTCTTAGATCAACTCGCTTCGAGAAAGCTACGCACAGGACACTGCGATTAGATTCAATTTCGATCTCCGAGCTACTTAACTTCTACTAAGTTCGGCTCGAAACGCAACGCAACGGGTCAAATCGAGTCGAATCGGATTGGATCGTATCGTATCGAAACGGAACGGAACGATTCGGGATGTAGAGCAGAGCCACGCGGCCGACTGGACTGGACTGTTGGCCAGCCCGGCCCTATAATCGCTTATATACGTTCGGTCAGTTGGCCAACACTCGCGAAAAGCTCGCACGCATGCGCAGCAGCCACGCACCAGTTTGGCGACAAAGCGACAAAAAAAGTGACTATACTCGAATGTGTAGCAAAAATCGAAACAAAAATTGATCTGGCTGCAAGGAAAGAGCCAAGTGAGGCCCGAATGAGCTGCGGCTTTGGCGCGTGCAGATGAAGAATTGATGACTGTTCGACTCCAGCTCGCGATTCGAGCCAGCTTTGTTCTCTCCCCGTTGCAAAACGAAAACTGCGAGCTGGCGAATTGGCGAACTGGCGAACTGCAACCTGCCCGGCCAATTGTTGGGCCCCACCTTCGCTCAGAGGCTCAGTTGGCAACGTTTTATTAGATCATAGTTGCGAACGCCTCGGCTCAAATATGAACCGATCACAAAATGCGCGTGGTGCATTGTTGGCCAAGTCGCTTTTTGCCTCAGTTTTATTTGGATTTTTTTGAGCTATTTTTTTGCATACCCGTATGCTTTTAAAGCGACTTAATTTGATTTAGATTTTAATCGCGGCCATTGCGTGTAGCTCTGGAAAAATAAATGCATACGCAATTTGCTAGGCCCCCAAGCCGAAAAAATTCATAAAAAAAGATCAAGAAAAAACAGGCACCAATGTATGTAGAAAATAAAACAAGAATTGTGGTATTAATTTTGCTATCAATAAATTTTGTCTGCCTGTGTGTGTGAGCAATCATGCGTGTTATGTGCCTTGGGCCTTGATTGTGCATTAGTTGGCTAAAAGGCGCATTGCCACATCATAATACGATACAATGTATAACTAATAGAATAGCCGGGAGATATGGCAAAGTGTTGACTTGTCGGCAATTAAGGTCACCATGCATCGAGTGTCACCCTCTGTGCGAGGGTGGGTGTACCATGCGCCGAGAAATTGGCCAACCCAGTGCGTTAACATGTCTGATAAATCGGCGGACTGACAAGCGATTCGAAGAAACATGGCAAAGAATTTGGGGTCAGGCGGCAATCAATATTTGGTTGCTATTCGGTTTCAATTTAAATTAATTCCAAAGTTTATTACAAATGTAACACATATTATCAATATTAAGTAATAGATTGCGTCATTAAAAAGTAATTGAATCTTGCAAGATATAAGAAATGAAAGAGGCAAATGCTTTATGTATGAGAAGCTTAAATTATTTCAAAGAATAAAGTTAGAAAGGAAAAACAATTTATTCAGTATTTTCATAATTATTGATTAATATTTTGCTTCTATGATACATTTAATAAGAAATAAATTAAAACTGTGCAATGAACGCCTCGGTTACTGAACCATTTTGCCTTTTGGCTAAATCCAGACGTCGCCCACGAACAGCTTGGCAGCAATTTCCCACAAGGTGCGGAAAATGCATTTCCACTCATAAACCCAGACCATTGCGCTACCTTAAGTCATAATTTTGAGCTCCGAAGCGGCGGCAGCGGCTAATCCTGCCGCTTTTGCGACCGCCCCGCTGGCATCACGCATACGCCACGTTGTGCGCTCACACAGCCAAAGTGCCAAGCCCGTCGGCCTTTCTCAAAAACACACGCAATACTTGCACTCTAGCACTAACTTAACTGGTTCGCGATATTTTCTGGGCTTGTAGAATTTTCGGGCTAGATTTTCCGAAACATAAAATCAGCGATATTATAAATATGTTTGGCAAATTTTGAAATGTTTACGCAGCGACCTGGTCAACGCAGGCGGCAAGCCATCTAGATGCAGGATCGCCCGCGCTACAAGTTGAATGTAAATGATCCGGCTGTGGCGAAAATCAAGATTTTTCAATTAAAAGCCCGAAGCGAAAGGGGGAGGGTCGAGATTCGATTTCGTCATGATGCTAAGTAGGCATGGTCGTGAGCCAGCCATGGCCAGCTGTAGATGTAGCTGTATTTGTATCTGTATCTGTATCTGTATCTGTATTTGAAGCTGACGCTGATGCTGATGCTGAAGTGGAAGCTATAGCTACGGCTATATAGCTGGCTCTCCAAAGCCCGCAGATCGTTTCGCCAAACTTACGCAACCAGAGCGATCTGTGCGTGTGTGTGACAAATGCGTGGCGAGGCGAACTAAACTCGTCCAGCGATCAGCCTGAAGTAGGTTAAAATTCGCGCAGCTGACTTTTCGGCTCGCGTTTGCAAATGTTGAAAAATTAAAATTCAATCAAATTGCGAAAACCGTTCGCGAAAAGCCCAAAATGAAGAAAAAAGCTGTACGACAGCCCGAAACATGTTTCATGTTCAATTAACAGCAGCAGTCCCAGTCGCAGTTGCATTCGCAGTCGGGAAAATAGCAGGAAAAGTCGGGAACATTTTCGGACTTAACTCTTCTCCTGGCTTTTCCGATAACAATCGCATCACGCAACACCCAATCGCTGAAGCTTAATTGGTCCGCAAGGTTTATCTGCTGCCAGCGGCTCTCGATCTGGATCGGCATTCTTTTGCACGATTGCGTGTCTGGGTTTTCCTTTTGCTTCGATTTTTCTTTTGGCCCGGTCTGGGCTTCTAATTGAAATGTCAACGCGTGTGCTGCTCAATCAATTTTCCAGCCGGCCATTTATGGTTGCTTTTATTTCGGCAAAACTTCGCCTAGATTTCACATCGGTAATCGTCTGGCCAGAAGTTTGTCTTGCCTTTTTTCCAGCTGGGTGTTTTTAATTGATTTGGCCGGCATGCGGTGTCATTCGCGAGTCAGGGACAATGTGGCAGCGATGGCAGCTTGATGGCTGCCAGTGCCACCGAGTGGCAGACTTCAGCCGCGGCGGACAGCTAATTAAATGCGGTCAGAAGGTGCGTTTAATCGATGGCAGTCGACGCGATTATTAATTGGGTCTGTCGGGAGTTAGTCCCGATTGAATATTTGACTAATCTGGCGGCTTGCATATAAACAAAAAAAGGAAAACATATCAGTTGCATAATAGATTTGAGTTACTTTATTCTATAGGATAATTGTATCCTCAGATGTTAATATACTAGTTTGTTACCTTCTCTGATTTCTAAAGAAACTAATAAACTTCACCAAAGTATATGTACTGGCTACTGTTGTTCCAAGACTAAGAAAGAATTATGTTCTTTTTATTTAAATTAAGTATTTTGTTTCTCGCGAATACATACAATTAAAATAGCAGATACAATGGTCGAAACGATAAAAATAATGCTTTAAATGGATTGCTATTAAAACAGATTAATTTTAAACTAACCTGATAAAAATAAATAATGTCGTATTTTAAAAGAAATAATAATTATTTTTTTATAATTCAAATATTTTGACAAAAGCTGTACATGAAGCAGCTGTTTTTGTTGTTCAATTGAGTAGATTCCAAGGCGATAAGCCGGATATAATTGTGAACGACTTGTTGTAAACAACTTGCTATATGAAGCATATCGCCAGGGGCAGTTTATTTATTTAAACCATATGTTTATTATAAAGGTTGGAACGCAGTTCTGTACACAACTCCTGAGTCAACCTCCTTTGCAGCGACATTCTATGGCGCGAGTGTCATAAACATTTGTCATAATTAACACAGATTAGGCATTCGGTTTCCATTATAGACACTCTGCTGCACTGGCTCTCCCACCAGCGAATGCTAATCCAATTTAGTTAATCTGATGCATAACTAGTTCGACCGCAGATCGAGTATTCTAATTACGGGTGCGATTTTGATTTCGATTTCAAATTCGATTGCGAATGTCAGTTTGCACTCGCACTTTTTGAATTGTCACCGCAAAACGCTGCGTATGGCATTGACTTGGATTTTCTTGCGAATTCTGTGCATAAATTGAAGTATCGACCTGCGACCAGGAACCAAAGTGTCAACTGGCAGATCGAAGTGAAGAGGGCGGTCGGAGAAAATTGATTGCCTCTATGCAAATTGCTCCCACATTGCGATTCTAGGCGAACCAGTTTGGATCCAGCGTCGGATCCAAAGTGATGGCAATAAAAAGCGATGCTCATAAACGGAGATCGCTGCAGATCACTTAGCGCGTTTTCAGCCGCGTGAGAATGCCAGCAAATCGCCCGAGTGCAACAGATTGTCGGATTTCGGTTTACGAGTGCAGAGGCGTTTTGCAGCGCTCCCAATTAAATAATTTACAATTTTCTAGATTAGGCGCCGCCTCCGTCCGACGACATTGAACGTAGTCAGGGGCTATGAGTCAGCAGCTCTGCGTTCATATTTCTCGTACCCGAGACTCTTGAGACTTAGATCCGGTTTGGGGCTCGCCGGAGTCGCCGCTGGAAAAGCTGCCCCACTGACACGCACACCTTTTAAGGAGGGCATCCCTCCCCGCACAGAGAACGCTGGCCAAAAGCAATTAGCGGTCCAAACAAATGTGAGAGACAATTCTCAGAAGTGCTTGCATGGCCCCTGCATTGCACTCGCATAATTTGCTGTCAAATCGCACGCGTTTTTCAGGCATACTCTTGCGAGGGGTGGTCGCACTTTTATTGCTCGCAGAAATAATTCAGGTTAGTGGTTGGTAAAGCCCTCTTTTGACTGTGATTTAACGCCTAAGAAAATAGTTATCGTTAGTGTTTACTAGTAAGTCTGCTTTCTTAGTTTCTTGTTTCATTCTTGTTACTGCATTGCAATTGGGAATTTATAGTTTATAATGTCGAAACTTCAAATCCCGTAGAGTATTCATATCTTTCACCTAACAAGTCTGCATTTTTGGGGCGTTTTCGAAGTTGCGTTGTCGGCTTGAAATAATTAATGCGAACTAGTGTTAATTTATGGTTGTCGCTTTCGTTGTTGGATGGCGTTGCCGCTGCTTTTGCCATTGCACGGAATAATCACTAACTCAATTGGAGGTTGGGCACTGCGAGAGGGATCAGAAGTCGGCGATCTTTCGAAGCTTGTTAGCAATTTCCTGTCAACCCACGAATTTTCTGGCTTATTGTTTGTCTCTCGGCTCGAGTTCTATGATTTATGGTCTAAAACCGCTGGCAATTGTAGCTGGGAATTTGATTCCGCAAGAGTGTGCATTGAGCTGATCATTACTCAGGATGTCAGGGAGTGTTTAATAAATGTGCTAACCACTGAATGCAAATATCTGAGAAAAATATCATATCAAACTATCCACTGTAAAATTGTAACTCCTTTGAGAATACATTTTAAATAAGCCTTTGAGATTATTAATTGCAAAAAATAATAAATATGAATTATTATAAGGCAGTAAAAGAAAATAGTTTTGCTAATTACTAAAATTGCAAGTCACATTCTAACTGATCCTGTTTACTCAACATTAAATTAAAACTCTTATTTGGGGCAAATTCATTTATTCGACAAACAGTAACTATAAATTACACAACTAGAGAAATAAATTACTCAAAGAACGAACAAAATAAATAAAGAAGGGAACACTGAGAGAGAGAAACGCTTATCTTTACACTCCTTCCAAGGTGCGATAGCTTTCAAAGCCGTGACCACCGGCGTACATGGGAACCATGTGCTTCTTGTCCTGGCGCACCATGTTCTGCACCAGAGTGGCCGACGCCGCTCCCTGCTCGTCCTCCTCGAAGTCCTCGAAGTCGTCCTCCAGGATCTTGGGGAAGAGGACAGGACCCGACTTCTCGGGTCTGTGGACGCGTGGCTTTTGCTTGGGGAACAGGGGACGCAGCTTCTTGGGCTTGCGGTGGAAGTAGCTGGAGTAGTCGGGTCGGGAGTAGGACTTGGACACCCCCTTGTACTTGTAGTGCTTCAGCCCGGGCGTGGTGTGGACCACCTTCTTCTGGTGGATGTGGTTGGAGAGGCCCTCGGGGATGCTCACCCTGGGCTTCGAGGGCGAGAAGCTCGTGTGAAGGGACTGCTGTTGAATGGAGGGCTTGTGTAGGTAGTTGTGGGGCAGCTCCTTGGGCCTAAAGTGGTCGTAGTAGGAGTGGTGGGAGTGTGCGGGGGAGCCTGTGGTATACTGAGGTCGATACTCCTTGGGTTCATTTACTATCACCGCCTTCCAATCGCCTTCTTGCACCGCGTAGGTGGGTTGCAGCTTCTGCGAGAAATCCTCCAATTTATGGGCAGCTGCTATCTGCTTGTAGTAGGTGTCCCTGGCCTGCTGCAAACGGTCCCTAATGCCCGGATCCATGTCCATGGGCACCTGCTTGATCCTGGCGTGCGGCTTGATCTCAATCAAACTGGGGATCTTCGGATGCGAGTGCGTCAAGTCCTCAATGGGTTTCTTCAGCGGCTTGATGTCCGAACTGAGGACAATGTGCTCCTGGTCCTTGCTGTAGTGATTGATCTTCGACTGCGAGGTGTCGTCGTTGACCTGGTTACCGCTCTCCGGCGTCTCTGTGATTGGATGCGAGTTGGCCCCCACAGTCTTGACGATCGCGTTGAATCCCTTCTTGGCATCCGCCGTGTAGTGGACCGTTCGAATGGAGCCATCCGGTTCCAAGATGCTGTAGTGACCCTTGACTCCATCGCCGTCGCGGCTCTCCCACTGGGACTTCACGTCGCCGGTGTGCAGGTCCTTGACCCCGTAACTGAAGGCATAGCCCGGATGCTCCTGAAACGACCAATTTGGTAAATTTGATTTAGTGCGTTTTAAAACGCTGCGAAACCGCGTGCGGTTCTTGCGGCGCCAACCGCACCCAAAATTCGTACACACACTTTTCGAAACCCCAATGGCTATGTCAACGTCTGTAGAATTTTTATATGTTTTCATGACGACCAACAAAAAAAAATGCCAAATAAAAAATGAAACAAATGCAACCTTTTTGTGTCAAGGCAAAACGCGCGCTGTGCACAGTTTGACAGCCATTGGAGGAGGCCTTTGGGTTGGGTTTTTTCAGCTCTTGGGGGATTGGGTTTTCGTTTGATCTGCAGCCGACAATGAGTTTGGGCGAAATTTAACTATTAATTAAAAGAACGGCTTAACCCTAGAAGGGCAAACAAGAATGGTAGAAAAAGTTCGTTCAAATTACTTTGGTGTTTATGAATCTTTGCGTTTAAATAGCAATGTCTTTTAATTACCTTAAATGTAGTCTTATCATTTTTGATAATAATTGTGTTAAATGCAAATGACAGTAATTTAAACTTAAACGACATTCTAGATTGTTATTTATAGCCTCACCGCCACGCATTAACCCCATAAAAACAGCCACTAAACCAACTGAAAATTTACATAAATTCAATTAATATAAAATGTAGAGCATTCGGTGTCACTTGGACACGTTTGTCTTATGTGAGTGTTTGTGCGTTTTCCCCTTCTTTTTTGGCACCTTCAGTATTTCTAAGGCAAATTGCAAAAGTTTTCGCATGCTTGGCGCTGGCTTCAATTAAGCGCAGACGTCCATAAATGGCTACGCACACAAACGCTGGCTGTTTTAATCTTTTCATTTTTTGGCCGTCTTGCAGTAGTCACTGTGGCTAACTATTGGTTACTTTTCTGGCGGTTTCTGCTGGCGCTGGTGCTGCTGCTGCTGCAGTTGTTCGCTGCCTATCAATTTTAACTCCCTGCTCCGCTGTCGCTGTCCGGACAAAACAAATGATTACAAGCGAGTGTAACCTGAGCGGCAGCCGTCGCACGCATGTCCCTCTATGTGAGCCACAGTCAAACCTAGTTAAGCTTTAAAACTTAAGATATTACAACAACATTCGGGTTTTTAAAAGAATTTGACTTTCTATTGTCATATTTATAATTTCATAAGCATTTCAAATAACCAGTACAACTTCAAATATTTAAAACTGTTTTTAGAAGTAAAATAACCATTATTTTGTCCATTTATAAAATTTTAATACAAGCTATTTACTATGCTATTCTAAATAATACTAATACTAAATAAACTAAAAAAATTCTGAGTTGTTCCTACCATTTCTTTACTTTTTTGTACTATTTTAAAGTTTAATTTTCATTACAAAAAATATGTTTTACATATAGCATTCAATTATCCTTTTGATTTCTTTTTAATTAAGTTGTTATCTCAAGTTTGACTTATCGAATTTTTGACGCTGCACTACTTTCTGTTTATATTGGTTCTAGTCTAATTGGATTGCACTTAGTGAAGCCGCACTGTGTGTTATAAATATATATTTGAGCGCCTGGATATATGGAGGTTTTAATAAGAGTTGCATAAGGCGGCGCATTGGGGCATTGGAGCAGTGGTGCAGTGGTGCAGTGGTGGCCACCCAAAGAGATCATTGGAGGCAGCGGCCGCGGCTGGTGGCCAATTTCGCGGAGGCTTTGTGGGTGCGTGTGAACTTTAGCTCATAAATTTATGGGTGACCAATTTATGATTTGACTAACTGGGCGTATGCGCAATCACTCCACTCCGCTCCACAATTACATGCAAATTACGCATACGCGGCGTTGTCAACATTTTGACAACAAATCGCCCGACAGATCGTGGGAGCACACAGCGCCGATTCGAATCATACGATTTCTGACAGACGCGACAGTTCCAAAGGCGTTTACCCGTCGCAGCGACCGACAGTCCGACAGACAGACAGCATGGAAAACATTTTAGCATTTTAACATTTTAACATTTTTTGCAAACGCACCTTGTCGCCAGGCCGAAAACAGTTACAAAGGAAAAGAATTCAATCTCGCCTTCGGGCCACCTTTCGCTTGACTTGGCTCGTAGGTGCAGCAGCCACAAGCTGCGCTATAGAGCCAAATATGGCGCCCCCGATCGTGTGTGCACGCAAAACGCATTTTCGCATTTCGCATTTTCGTATTTTCGTATTTTCGTATTTTGGCTACCTGCCAGCTTCCACCACTTAACCCCCTGGCTTCCCCCAAAAAAGACAATGGAGTGGAAGTCAGGTCGGGTTAACAAGTTGATTTATGTGGGCGGCGGTGGAGGCTATAACCGCACAGCCATCGATGGTTATGGTGGTGAACATTCTGCAGTCGCACGACAACATTCACTTTCAATGGCGGAAAATGCGTTTTCCACGATCGCAAGATTAGCCGCGGTTTTAGTGCGTGCGCGAGGGGATTTCGACTTAAACTGCCTTGATGTATTAATCGGAGCTTGGTTCCGCTCTACTTTCTGATAGATCGATCATATTCGTAATTAATTGTGAGCCGTCAGATGATTTATTTGATTTTAAAGCGGCCTAACGATCAGTTCTTCGGACAGCTGTCCGCTTGCTAATATTTTTGTCTAAATCCTTCACAGAAAATAGCTTGTGGAGTTAATAAATCAAAATAGTTATTTATTTACTGTAACTCAACGGTTTTGGGATATTTATTCTAAAAAAACTACAATTTAAAAATGTTTTAGTCCCTGAAATAAAAGTTGGCAATGTGTTGGGATGATAAATTGAATAGCTTGCATAGAATGACAATTATTTATTGTTTCCTGCTAAAAATTTTATTCATTTAAAAATATAACAACTTCTATAAAAATCCTCTTAAGTTATTATTCGTATTCTTTTGTGAGAAAAAAATTGTATACTGTATGGCTGGAATAGGATTATGTACCAGTGTTTATGAAAATGCTGCTTTCCTTTCTCTGCCGATTTTTCCCACCGTACCTGTTAAACTCCACGCAGTATTCCTAGCATGCACTCGAATTGGCTGCTCAATGGGACCACTTTGGCCCCTTTTTGTTTGGGGCTGACTCACTTACATATTGCGGGGCGTACTCCATGGTTTCGTCATCGTCGTCGGCGACCACAACAGGTGCCCCGCCCCGAACCGCATCGGTGGGCGGGGGGCGTGTCCCGAGGCAGATTAGAGCGAGCAGGATGGCCGGCAAATGGGTCGTTATCTGCAAAAAGGCATTTAAGCGGAATATGAATGCGTTTTATCAGTCGAGCGCTTATTAAACGGAGCGATAAAACGAGTTAAGCAAACATACCAAACAGTTAATAAATTGCCTACAAAATTATTACGCGAGCCCAAAAGGAAACGAGAGCAAAAAGCAAAAAGCCGAAAAATTAATTGGCCAACGAACGGAGGAGCGTGTTCGGAGATTGGCCGAAAACCGAAAACCGAAAACCGATCCCAGACCATGTCATACAGCGTTGTGACAGTTGTCAAATGGTAATGGCAAAATACACCTTGCCGTCCGAGATCCAAAATTAGGCAGACAGATAGACACCGGGCACATTTGTATCGAGCATATGACAGCAAATGCCTGTCCGGCGAAAACTTTTGGAGATTGATGGCTTTGCTTAAGACCAGTAGCCCGACTGAGCCCGATTTCGCGATGGAAACGGGTCTGGCAGGATGGCGGCCACTGGCACTCGCACTCGCACTCCCATTCGCATTCGCATTCGCACTCGTACAATTCAATTTTCCCAATTGCATTCGCCTCGCATTTGTTTCTTTGCAAATTGCAAAACATTTTTGGACATTTTCGATTTTCAATTTTCGATTTTCGGTTTTCGGCTGCGAGTTGCGAGATCGGCCAGGCCTCGATTGGCATGTGTCGCTGCTTTGGGGAGGCTTCGCTTTGGGTGCGAGTCGGTTTAATTAGCACGGCCACGATGGCCACTCAATATCGCTGCCCGCGGGATTTGTCAAGAACGGCACGAACGGAATGCCGGCTGAAATGCGGCTCTGCAAATGAGGCGTAATCCGTTTCGGCATAGCTGACATAGCTCAGTGAAGTCCGTATTAACAAACCATCAGGAATCCCAATGTAATCCACAGATCAGCAGACCAACAAATCAACTTAACTACAGTTTTTTGTCGTTTGTGTAATATTGGACAAAATAAGGAACAACTGAATTGTTTTTTTCAGGAAGTAAGTAAAATGCTCTGCTTGTGCTAAACAACTTTGCTAAAATGTTTATTCAACACTTAACTTGAAAGCAATCAGAACTAAATTATTACCTCAACATATATAATTAAACAAGTGTTTTTAGTAATTAATCTTTATAAACTAGGCACAAGGATAAGTCTAACAGATTCCGAATGGGTTTTGAGTGCATACTACAAATTGGAAACTGAAACCTTTAAGTTAATTTAGTTTTCCATTTTATTAAAATACTTTTGTAAGTTTTCAATATTGAGAAAATAATTTTATTTTATTTTTTTTTTAGGTTTTTACTTTGATAAATGTTCTCCCTATATACATATAGCTTGACTATAAACCAGCCATTTAGAAAATGTATTAGTTTTATTTTAAAAAGTCAATTAAATCCTTTTACTGAAATACTATTTTTGCTTTGATTGCCTAATGTGCAGGAGGTGTATTTGCATTCGTGATCACTCGCCGGACTTTCACTTCAAGTGAAAGTTTGCATTTCTAAACTTTCGCTCTCGATTTCCAATTGCCAAAAAACGAGGCTTAGTCAAGAGCACCTGGACTTCTGAGTTCATTTATAGTCTGTTTGATCAACACTTACATAGAACCGCATGTCGCTTTAAAAACTGACTTAAGCTACTTGCGGAAAACACGTCACTAATCACTTGGCGTTTTGAAAACGCTGACAATTCGCGGGGCTATCCTCTCCGATTCGCTGCCGTGGTCTCAATGTCAAGGACAAAAACGTAATTAAAGCGTTGGCGCGGCATTGCCAAAGTATTTATAGATGAAGACGAGGACCGGCAAAGCGCAGCTTCGGTTTCGATTCGTTTCGTTTTCCCGGCGACAAGATTTTCCGGCTTCACCGGTTCCACTTCCAACGTCCAATACCCAACTTCCAACTTCCAACTTCCAACCCGCCAGACGAAGCCAACTGCGATGAGCAACACATTGCAAATCGCACGTTGCACGCTGCAGATTGAAGATTGCAGATTGCAGATTGCAGCTGCTTTGTCGCTTCCTAAGCTCGGTCTAATTGACAATTATTCGTCGGGCGGAGAGCTCCCCGCTCTCGAACCCGTTTGGCAGCCGTACGTACCGCCAAACTATGAAACCGAAACCATAACCATGCAACTATAACCATCCAACTCCCCGATTTGGGCAGCCCAACTCTTGGTTTCAGGCGCCGCCGTGCGGCAAGTAAAAGTCGTCGTCGTCGGCGACGCTTCGCTGCAGCTGTCTAATGGCATTATAAAATTTATACCTGCCTGCATTACGTTTCGACTTTACATAAATTAATGGCGATTTGCTCTGCGAATGTGTCGTGTCTCCACTTTGCCAGCTAATCCTGGTAATCCGTATTAAAATCAAGTGCTGCAGACCGCCGCAGGCTATGGAGTATAAATTGTGGGGCTTGGGAAAATTTCTCAGGGCCTCATATTTGAAGGTGAGAAAAACAGTATATTTCGTGATTTTGAATCTCTATTTGTAGTATGGCTTACCCCTGGATTATCACAATCTTTAAACTTTCCTCATCAGTAGTAAAGTAGTAAATATTCACAGATAAATACCTACTAAACAGAAACAATTGAAGGAAAACTTCTTTGCCGTAACTTGTTTACCTTCTTGACCATAACCTATGAATAAATTAATAAAATTATTGCAAGACTACCAACCAATACCATTTAATCACTATATATGTAGTTGTTTGCTAGAACAAATAAATTTCTCTTGCATTGATTACATTCCAAAACTAGCTTTAAGTTAGGGATCGAGTTAATATGAAGTTTTATATGAGTTTCTCCTCCCGCCCAAATATTCAAAAATAAAAAGTCAGTATTTTAAGATAGTAAACAGTTATGCTTATGTATTTAGTAAAATAGATATTAAGAGTACTACATGTGTAAAAAGCTTGCTTTAGTCAGGTCATTTTGTTGCTTGGTTAAATGGTTTGGTTAAGTATTTTTTTTCAGATCGTTCTGGCTATCATCGGTTACAAATCGTTGTCGGAGGTCCTTGAATCAGTGCAGTTGCTTAACGCTCACGTAGCTGCTGGCGTGTCCGCCGTGTCCGTATCCGTAGCCGCCGTAGTGCGCCACATCGTGTCCGTAGCCGTAGTCGGATCCGTAGACGTCGCCGTGGCCGTAGCCCTTGTGGTAGACCTGCGGGTGGACGGCGTGGCCCAGTTTCTTGACCACCGCGTTGAAGCCGTTGTGATCGTCGGCGGTGTACTCCACCACCCGGGTGGTGCCGTCCGACTCCTTGAGGGAGTAGCTGCCCTTGACCTTGTCCCCGTCCCGTGTCTCCCACTGGCTCTTGTGGTCCCCGGTGTGCGCGTCCTTGACCCCGTAGTCGAAGTGGTACTTGGGGTAGTGGTGGGGCTCGTGCTTCTCGTACCCGTAGCCGTAGCCGGGGTGGCCGAGGCCGAGGCTGGGGTAGCCGTGTCCGTAGTTGCCCCCGTAGACACTGATCAGGTCGTGGTCGTATCCGTGGCCCAGGCTCTTGTGGACGGGCTCCTCGTGCTTGACTAGCGAGCTGTAGCTGGTGGCGTGTCCTCCGTGGGGAGCAGCCAGGCTCCCGCCCACCAAGAGGGCGAATAACAGACCTCCGCAGAAGGGTTTCATTTGGCCACGATAGTCGATGTCTTCCGATCGGAACTTTGATGATGTCTGCTGGTTCTTAGGGGGCCCTCGATGACTTTATATAGCTCTCGAAAAGTCTGGGGCAATCAACTCGCGGGTGGTCGTTCTCTTGGCCACTCCGTTCACCACCTTTCGTGCTAGCTGATTTGTTAATTGCCTCGCTAATTCATTACTTTGCTTACTATTGTTTTGGCCATTGAGCTCCATTGAAAATCGAGCACATTTTTATTAAACCAACTCCGTTACAATTAGATTCCCTTGGAAATAATTAATTGTAGCAGAACCAAATGCTTTTTGTAAGTTCGCTAGCGTTTCGATAGTTTTGGACTGTGGTTTAAAAGAAGGGCGAGACTGGGCTAAGAATTTGTGTCTTAATTACCCAATCAATATTTTGATCGAGAACGCGAACTTTTAGAGGCTAACAATTTTGCGTAATATGGAAATGAGGAAATGATTTAGCTCAAAAACTAAGACCCCAAGGTTACTGCAACACTAACATTACATTTACATTAGGATAAGAAATTTTGAGTTAAAAAAGTTACATTATGAATTAAGACAATACCATTTCATGCTCTGGTGTGTGGGAAACGTCTTTCGGTGTATACAAATACTAAAAATGTAAAGGTTCTTAATAAAAATACACATTTTCCAACTAAACTTGCATTTATTGAAAACACAGGGTAAACTTCAAGAGGGTTTACCTATAATAAAGTAAGTTATTTTAAAATCACTTTTAAGTTATAAATTCTTAAGCCTTTTTCATGTTATCTAATAATCATACAAATGTAGCAAACTATGTAAAGTTTCAAAATGAATCGATTGTCCAAGCCCAAAACTAATTTCTATTATACACGTTTTCAGCCTTTAACCTGTTAATTATAAATATTTAGAAAACATTAACGGCTCTTTAGCGAGTTAACACCAATTCGGAAGCATTGGGTGCCCCGCGGCAGACCCCCTGTGAAGAAATACCGACCAATTGGACTGTCCGCCCAGCTTGGCCCTCTCTCCCCCCACCCATCGTCCGCCGTCTCAAGGTCATTCGCGGTGAAGTCGGCGATGAAGAGGGGCACACTCAAGAAACGCAGCGAGGCGAGGCGGCTATTGCTAAGTAATTTGAAAGCGGGCCACACTTGCTGGTTGATTTCTAAGCAACAAAAACGGCGAATATAGCAACAACCATCGTTGCGTTTTTTTTCGAGTTGGGCGATGTTCACGCCCCGTTTATTGATGTGGGCTGTAGCTGCCTGAGCTAAGTGTTGTGAGCCACACTTCATTTGCCAATCGCCAGAGCGAGTTTTTGAACGCGAATGAGGAAAAATGAAAATTTGCCCAAAAATTCGAAGCATTTTTCGTACCTATTTTTTGGGGCTCTTACTTTTTCTAGCCTATTTAGCCTCGAGGGTAAAATTTAATTTTTCGATCCACAGAATGCGCAGAAGTATAAAAGCGTTGGGCTTTGTCTACCAATTATTACAGTTTGAATTGCGATTTAGGCCAAGCAAGTCGATTAGAAACCAACGGAAATGCCTCTGAAACTAACTATCCTCTGCTGTGCTCTTCTGGGCGTGGCTGCCGCCACTTATATTCCTCACGGAGGATACGATCATGGACACGGCGTGGGATACAGCATCCAGACACACCACGAGGCTCCCAAGAAGTGGCAGGACCACCACCAGGAACACCAGGCGCACTCCTGGGCTCCCAGCCAGGACCACCACCACCAGCAGTGGGCGCCAGTGGCCTCCCACGACAGCCACCACCAGTGGAGCCACCACGAGGAGCCCAAGCACCACCCCAAGTACGAGTTCGACTACGGGGTGAAGGACACCAAGACCGGGGACATCAAGCAGCAGTGGGAGACCCGCGATGGCGACAAGGTCAAGGGGGGCTACACCATGAAGGAGGCCGACGGACGCACCAGGATCGTCGAGTACACCTCCGACGCCCACAGCGGATTCCAGGCAACCGTCAAGCATGTCGGACACGCCGATCACTACGAGCACGGACATGGACATGGACACGGACAGGAGTACGGACACGGACATGGTCATGCCACCAGCTACGCGGAAGTGAAGCAGGAGATCGGCGGCAAGTGGTGGTAAAGGAGCTGACCCGACTGATTGTACAACCGATTCGGACTATCTAATTTATTTTAAATAGAATAGACCAAAATTCGAACTATTGCTATAGGTGAATAAAGCGAAGCAAAGGCATAAAATGCGATTAAATATGGAATTGAAAAGTTTATTATTTATAAAATGGTTGAATATAAAATAAATAATTATGGTTTTAAGATACGTTTTAGGCATGGGTGATTCTATAACTTATTTAAACAAAGAGTCTCAAAAATGTGCACCCGTGGAACCAATGTTCAAGAACGATCAGAATGAAAGGCAAAATAAAATGTCAACTTATTATGGAATTTTAAATTTTTTCCCAATTTGCTTTAAGGTATTCAGTCCGATATTATTTAAATAACTTGAGTTGAATGACACTTTAAACGTTTTTTAATAAATGTTTGCAGTTGAAAAAAATATACATTTTTGTTTTTGTAATTATTAACTATTGTTGTTCCTAAGTTCTCTACCTGCTCTGTCTCTAATATTTGCGCATATTAAAAAAAGTTTTCTTTAATAGTTAACATTCTAAAAAGGTTTTTATTTATACACTTTGGTTTTTTTTAGTCAAAAATTTGTTGAACAGTATGTTAAAGTATCCCGTAAAATAAACAAGGAAGTTAATTGAAAGTTATGAGCCATTTCCGAGAAGCAATTCGTAGAAAACCTCGAGAATTGTGGAAATACAATTCATGGCTTTTGCATCACAATAATGCCCCTGCTCACACATCTTTGCATGTAAGAGGTTTTTTAGCCAAAAAAAAAAAAAAAGGACACTATAATCGGGTGTCCCCAGGCCAGATGTATGGAGGCTTAATTGGCATAGGTAAGTTCAGTAGGTGCCTACCTTGGCTAAGGTGTCAACATTTGCTTACGTTCCAGGATTGGCTAAGGTGGGTGCATTTTTATGGGTTCTTTAATTGGCTAAGGTAGCTGAATTGTTTTAAGGTTTGGGTACTGGATATAGAGGCGAACTCGCCCAAAAGGTACTGGGCGTAAAAGTGGGTGTGGCGAAAAACAAAACGTGATTGCCTGCGCATTCACGCATTGAATCTCAATATATATTCTAAAGTTTTCTAACCTTAAAGGCTGTGACGCTAAAGAACTTCGCGGTGTTTGGACAGACAGAAATAGATTGACTAGTATATTGTTCCTGATCCAGAATATATATACTTAATAGGGTTGTATGTACTTGCTCCCTCCTGGAAGATTCTTATCAAAAAATTCAATATACAATTTTAATCTATATGTAACGGATATAATCAGCAGCAAAAGGAGCTTTTTAAAATAAATTTAAAAAAAAAAATGTTAATTACAGAGTAAAAATCTCACAAGAGAGCAACCTATAATTTCGAAGAACGATATTTCAACTATCTCCTTGGCTTGACAATTTTAACTTTTTCGTTCATTATACCCTTGCAGAGCAAAGGGTATTATAACTTCAGTCAGAAGTTTGCATCGCAGTGAAGGAGACACCTCAGACCCAATAAAGTATTAATATTCTTGATCAGCATCACGATCAGAATCGATATACGTTTTTTCGTCTGTACGTCTGTACGTCTGTCCGTCTGCCTGTCCGATCCTTCCCATGGCAGCAATATGATAGAGTTATCCGATTTTGATAAAATTTTATCCGAAATTCAATAGTGGTTAGAAAACGCCATCTAGAAGAAATCAAGTCGATCTGATCAAAAACAACGGTCTGAGAATTTTTTATTTCATTCTTTCGTATGGGAACTATCCGATGTAGTCGGCTGATCCGCTCCGTTCCGACTTATGTACATATATTCTGCGTGCAACAACTACACAACTTTTGGGAAAGTTTCACCAATATAGCTTTAAAACTGACAATAGTTTACATAGACATAGACAGACGGACAGACATATAGACGTATTTCGATTCTAATCGTAATGCTGATTAAGAATATGTGTATGTATTTTATGGGGTCTGAGGTGTCTCCTTCACTGCGTTGCAAACTGACTGAAATTTTAATACCCTTTGCTCTGCAAGGTTATAAAAAGTGTGCTGGTTTTGCGGATAAGAAGCTTATAATCGCTTGCAGTTAACATAAAACCTTAGCCTATTAAGATCTGGCTTAGTCTTTGAAAAACACCATATACACAAAATCTTGACTGTAAAATTAAAAACAATAATTATCATTTAATTATTTTTTCCTGGCCATATACTTCCTGCAATAGAAAAAAGATTTTAATAAAACTTTAGTGATTTTGCTTAAAAACTTAGGGACTAGAGACAGAAAAATAGACGTTCGTGTCTAAATCGACTTAGATAAATATGCTAATTAGGCAAATATTAACTTAATGGGGTCGAAAGGGTATCTTCCATTGCTCTGGAAACTTATGGCTTAAGCTTATGTTTAAATAACTTTCACATCCTTAAGGATTGAGAATTTTTCAGAAGCATGCGTATTAGCATGTATAATAAAAAGACTCAAACCAAACTAAATTTCCCAATAAGTCTTTTGGCTAATAATAAACCTTTCTACTTAAGACACAAAAAAATGTTGATCCTGGTAAGACTTTGTTCATTTAATTTATTAGTGATATGCGTACTGTTTTCTTTATAGTAGTTTTTTCTACACAGGTTTTATTTTAATTAGCATGGCACACAAATATTGTTTTATAAACGAATATGAAAAAATAAAATATCTACAAAATTCAAAGCATTTTCGTATCTTTTTCATCGGCTTTTTCTTTTTACTAGCTAATTAACCTTGAAATCTGTAGAATGGGCTAAGGTATAAAAGCGTGGGGCTCTGTCTACCAATTATCACAGTTCGAATTGCGATTTAGGCCAAGCAAGTCGATTAGAAACCAACGGAAATGGCTCAGAAACTTATCCTCTGCTGCACTCTTCTGGGCGTGGCTGCCGCCCATTATGTTCCCCACGGTGGATACGATCACGGACACGGCGTGGGATACAGCGTCCAGACACACCACGAGGCTCCCAAGAAGTGGCAGGACCACCACCAGGAGCATCAGGCGCACTCCTGGGCTCCCAGCCAGGACCATCACCACCAGCAGTGGACACCAGTGGCCTCCCACCACCAGTGGAGCCACCACGAGGAGCCCAAGCACCACCCCAAGTACGAGTTCGACTACGGGGTGAAGGACACCAAGACCGGGGACATCAAGCAGCAGTGGGAGACCCGCGATGGCGACAAGGTCAAGGGCGGGTACACCATGAAGGAGGCCGACGGACGCACCAGGATCGTCGAGTACACCGCCGACGCCCACAGCGGATTCCAGGCAACCGTCAAGCATGTCGGACACGCCGATCACTACGAGCACAGCCACGGACACGGACACGGACAGGAGTACGGACATGGACATGGTCATGGTCATGCCACCAGCTACGCGGATGTGAAGGCGGACACCAGCAACAAGTGGGAGGACAAAAGCAGCAAGTGGTGGTAAAGAGGCGACCCGACCAACTGTACAACCGATTCGAGCTATGTAAATTATTGTAAATAGAACCAAAATTCGAACTATTTTAGTAGGTAAATAAAGCGAAGCAAAGAGCAGAAAATGCGAACATGAAAACAAATGAGTTTGTTATTTGTTCATAAATGTAAGGCTTTGAGCGCGAATCAAAATCGCCATAGAACGTTGAGGGAATCATTCGTATATAATAAAACAATTTTATCTTTTTGGAGTTGGAGAGTTGGATTGGAAAATTGTATGCCAATTTTTCACCTTTTACAATTTTGTTATTGTTAATATTATTAATAATAATACTACAATGATAGTATTATTGCTATACCACGTAGTTTTCATAAAAATAAGAAAATAATGGAACAACAAAAACTCTTAGAAAGAAAACCTATTTTTATTTTTAGGATAATTAATAAAATAATAACTAAAGTGTGTTATAATTCTGCAATATATGATTATGGGCAAAATTGAATAAGTTGAGATACATCAAAACTTTACTTGGTAATGAACTAACACGTTTTTCTGTTTAATTGAACGAAATTGAACCCTTGTCAAGTAGAAAGTCGCCCGACTTTTATGATCTACTTTAGAAATAAATAATGTGTATATTTTGTTTGAAGTGCAATTAGTTTCAACAATTTAAAACGACAAAATTTTACGGGCTTGCGAGGAGATTTAAACTCCCCACAAATTGAAAAGCAAGGGAGAAGCGTCTATAAACAGCGGAGGGGCCGAAAATGCCGGAGAAACCATTTAGGCCAAATTACAACAGTTCGCCTTGGAACGGGGAACAGGGGAGAGATAAGGCCGTCGATCCAAGCCATATACTCTTGCCAGGCAAGGGAGAAGAACTTGATTGGTAAATTGGTAAATGCGATCAAAGAGAGTGAATAACAATGAAGTCAAACCAAAAGCCAGGTGACAAGAGGATACAGATTACTAAAAGTTTAAATTTAAGACAATGTTAGGAATGTGCGTGATTACATGTATGAAAAAGGATACAAAGGTACAATCGATCCTATATATCTTATAGCTACCAAAAGAACAATCAAAACACATATAGAACATTTATTGAACAAATGTAAAGCTTCGTCGAATATTATGTTGAATGATTAACGAATACAATTTAACGATTAAAAGTCAAAAAAATGTTTTAAGGCAGGTTCTCACCTTGTGGGGCAAAAAAATGGCAATTTAAAAAAAAAATGTTTTGAGAAAACGGTTAAAGATAAAAAGATGAAATTTTCAACTTTATTTGAAAACATATTTATTTTGCGAAAAAAAATTTCGAAATGTAAAAATCAAAAAAGGGGCGGGAGGGGGCGTTCCTCAGTGGCGGCATGTCGGCGAAAAGGTGTCCCGCTTACGAAAGTGATTCAGCCAAAACGGGTAATCGGAAACACAAAAACCGAAAAGATTCTTAAAGTGTACAGTATTGTGCATAAAATGAACTAGGATCAGAAAAAAATTAAAATTGCAAAAGTTAATAGCTTTAGAAAAAAATTACGATATTCGACCTTTATTTCTCACTAATTATTTTCTCAAATAAACCTTTTTCAATATTTTTGGATAATCCTAGTTCATCAGTTAAAGGAAACAATTAGGAACATATAAAAAAAATTTGATGACGATTGGTTAACCCCAACGCCTTCAATTACTTCCGTAAGGTCCGAAAACGTGGTTCCGAGATAAACGCGTTTAAAGTTTTAATGTTTAAATATTTAAATTTTGATGTTTAAATAACTGATGTAATAGTTAAGGATTGGAAATGTTTCAGAACCATGCCAAACTAACCGAACTAAATTTTCCTATGAGCCTTTTGCCTAATAATAAACCTACTTAGGTTTAAAAAATGTTGATCCTGATGAAAACATTGTTCAGATGGTTTATAAGTGATATGCACACCGTTTCATTAATGTTATTTTTTTCTGCGAAGGTTTTATTTCAATTTGCAGGGCACACAAATATTGTTTTATAAACGAATATGAAAAAATAAAAAATCTACAAAAATTCAAAGCATTTTCGTACCTATTTTATGGGCTCTTTCTTTTTCCAGCTAATTAACCTTGAAATCTGTAGAATGGGCTAAGGTATAAAAGCGTGGGGCTCTGTCTACCAATTATCACAGTTCGAATTGCGATTTAGGCCAAGCAAGTCAATTAGAAACCAACGGAAATGGCTCAGAAACTTATCCTCTGCTGCGCTCTTCTGGGCGTGGCTGCCGCCCATTATGTTCCCCACGGTGGATATGATCACGGACACGGCGTGGGATACAGCGTCCAGACACACCACGAGGCTCCCAAGAAGTGGCAGGACCACCACCAGGAGCACCAGGCGCACTCCTGGGCTCCCAGCCAGGACCACCACCACCAGCAGTGGGCGCCAGTGGCCTCCCACGACAGCCACCACCAGTGGAGCCACCACGAGGAGCCCAAGCACCACCCCAAGTACGAGTTCGACTACGGGGTGAAGGACACCAAGACCGGGGACATCAAGCAGCAGTGGGAGACCCGCGATGGCGACAAGGTCAAGGGCGGGTACACCATGAAGGAGGCCGACGGACGCACCAGGATCGTCGAGTACACCTCCGACGCCCACAGCGGATTCCAGGCAACCGTCAAGCATGTCGGACACGCCGATCACTACGAGCGCAGCCACGGACACGGACAGGAGTACGGACATGGACATGGTCATGGTCATGCCACCAGCTACGCGGATGTGAAGCAGGATACGAGCAGCAAGTGGTGGTAAAGAGGCGAACCGACCGACTGTACAACCGATTCGAACTATGTAAATTATTGTAAATAGAATCAAAACTCGAACTATTTAGTTTGTAAATAAAGCGAAGCAAGGGCAGAAAATGCGAAAAAATATGAAACCAAATGAGTTTATTAAGCCACCCAAAACAGAAACTCTAATGATTGAGGTTTTAAAAAAATTTAATAATTATGAATCCTTAATTTAATAATATACTGAATACTGTCGAAATTCGAACTTCTAACAAATTTTACGTGATATGCTTCGTGAGATGCTTCGAAACGCGTTTATTTAGGTACGTATAGAACGACTTGTTATACCCTTGCCGAGCATAGGTTATTATATTTTCAGTCAGAAGTTTGCAACGCCCCATCTGAATCGATATACGTTTGTACGTCTGTCCGTTTGTTAAAGCTATCTTTCTGAAACGTTCCCAAAAGTTGTGTAGTTATTTCACGCAGTATATAAGTAGGAACCGGCCGACTATATCGGATAGCTCCCACATGAGAGAATCAAATTAAAAATTCTCCCGCCGTTGTTTTTGATCAGATTAAAAACAATGACGTTATAATTTTTTTTCCATTAATTATATATATATTTTTTGATCTTTCCTGTGGGAGCTATATGATAGAGTTATCTGATTTTGATAAAATTTAATCCGAAATTCAATAGCAGTTAGAAAATGCCATCTGGAAGAAATCAAGTCGATCCGATCAAAAACAACGGCGCGAGAATTTTTCATTTCATTCTCTCGTATGGGAGCTATCCGATATAGTAAGCCGATCCGCCCCGTTCCGACTTATATCCTGCGTGCAACAACTACACAACTTTTGGTAAAGTTTCAGCAAGATAGCTTTAAAACTGAGAGACTAGTTTAAAGAGAAACGGGCAGACAGACAAACGGACAGACAGACAGACAGACGTACATACGTATTTGGATTCTGATCGTGATGCTGATCAAGAATATATATACTTTATGGGGTCTGAGGTGTCTCCTTCACTGCGTTGCAAACTTCTGACTGAAATTATAATACCCTTTGCTCTGCAAGGGTATAAAAACATCTTTGTGAATAAGATATAAAACGATTTTGAATTAATGATTGAAGTATAAATACATATATAAGAAAAGAAAATGTATATTTTCTTGTTAATTGTTTCTATTGTTTTCCTTGGGATTTTTACACCTGTATCTTTTCTTTATGCAAATAAAATCGTATTTTTTCAGCTATATTTTTTGCTTTCATTGAAAATGTACCGTGTACAGCAGACTTGTTAAAAACATATTTGTTTTGTGTTATTAAGCGATTCGCAAAGCGGTCAGAACGTTGATTTCAGACTAATTTTTTTTTATTTGTTGTCCTAGTGTATACAGCAACTAAAAAAAATAAGTTACTTGAAAGGAAAACCCTAACTAAGTTGGTTTTAAAGCATAAACTCAGAATAAATTGTAATTCTTGAAAATTAAAAAATATGTATTAATTTGAACCAAAATATCGTAATTTTGTGTCGTGTTTGATTTGGAGTTAAAAGCCGGATTCTTCAACGTGGAGAAAAGAGGCTTAGGTTCAAAGCAGGTTTATTTTTTTAATTCGATTTTGTAAATATTTTATTTTTTTTATGGACTCTGATCAATTTATATTACTATGTTGCTGAATTTCAATAATTTGGTCTTAAAAGCTAAAAAGTACGCGCTCCTCTTAGACTTAAAGGATACACATATATTGCTTACTATTGGTAGTATAGGTATAGTTATTAAATCAAGAATGAGTCCATCTAGTTTCGGGGAGCCTAAGCTTATATACCCTTGCGGTCATCAAATATGTCGAAAAAAATACATAAAGGCTTAACCACAATTGTTTTATACAAAAAATTAAGTTTCTATATTTTCGACGATTGCTCATAAGACATATGATATGATATAGTTGTAGTTCGAAATGCAAGAGTCATTATAAAACTCTATATTCCAAAAATGATGCTTGTCTAATGAAAAACAATGGTGTCATGATTTTTTTTCTGTTTATTTCGATAATTTTGTATAGATTATTCGATCTTTCCTATAAAAGCTATATGATAGAGATTTCCGATTTTGATCAAATTTAATTCGAAATTCGATAGTAGTTAACACTTTTTACAAGAAATCAAGTGGATATGATCAAAACCAACGGAGTGATAATTTTTTTCAATCACTACAATTGGAGCTATCCGATATAGGAGCTAGTTTTAAGAGAAACGAACAGACGTACAGACGTATTTCGATTCAGATCGTGATGCTGATCAATAAAATATATATTTTGTGGGTTCTGAGGTGTCTCCTTAACTGCGTTGCAAACTTCTGACTTATATTATAATACTCTCTGCAAGTGTATAAAAACAGTTTAAACGGTTTCTTTTGAAGTATTTTAATATTATAAATCGCAAGACTGGAGACTATATATAAAGTTTACTTTATTGCTGACAATAGTAAACTGTAAGTGTATATAAGCTTCGGATAGCATCCTTTCATACTTTCAAAAAGTTAAGCTATTACTTAAGAAGTTTTTTGGATTTAAAATATTGACATTTGATTTATATTAAATTTAGTTTTAAGAGTCGTTCAAAAGTTAATTCATTTACTATAATATATATATTTTTGTTTATTTCAAGGGCAGCTATATGATATAATCGTCCGATTCCCTCGTAATCTAAGAGTTTTGTTTGCGAAGAAACAGAAACATGGACAAGGGGACAAGAAAATATTTATATCGACGTGATGGGCTACATATGTTGATTCTTTTAAGGTTTTCTTAATTATTTAAGCTTTTAATAAAATGTTGTCCTTCTTAGTTTAACATTGATACGCAAAACTATATTTCCACTTCCTTGACATTAATATTTCCTGTCAAAGTTTAAATTGTTTGCTAAATTTATTTTGCCAGGCGCACTAATATTGTTCTTTATCCGAAAAACGAACACATTTAGAAAAAAATCGAATTAAGCGTACCTTTTTCATCGGCTCTTTCTTTTTTCCAGCTCATTAACCTTGAAATCTGTAGAATGGGCTAGGCTATAAAAGCGTGGGGCTCTGTCTACCAATTATCACAGTTCGAATTGCGAATTAGGCCAAGCAAGTCGATTAGAAACCAACGGAAATGGCTCAGAAACTTATCCTCTGCTGCACTCTTCTGGGCGTGGCTGCCGCCCATTATGTTCCCCACGGTGGATACGATCACGGACACGGCGTGGGATACAGCGTCCAGACACACCACGAGGCTCCCAAGAAGTGGCAGGACCACCACCAGGAACACCAGGCGCACTCCTGGGCTCCCAGCCAGGACCACCACCACCAGCAGTGGGCGCCAGTGGCCTCCCACGACAGCCACCACCAGTGGAGCCACCACGAGGAGCCCAAGCACCACCCCAAGTACGAGTTCGACTACGGGGTGAAGGACACCAAGACCGGGGACATCAAGCAGCAGTGGGAGACCCGCGATGGCGACAAGGTCAAGGGCGGGTACACCATGAAGGAGGCCGACGGACGCACCAGGATCGTCGAGTACACCTCCGACGCCCACAGCGGATTCCAGGCAACCGTCAAGCATGTCGGACACGCCGATCACTACGAGCACAGCCACGGACACGGACACGGACACGATTACGGACATGGACATGGTCATGGTCATGCCACCAGCTACGCGGATGTGAAGCAGGACACCAGCAGCAAGTGGGAGGACAAGGGTAGCAAGTGGTGGTAAAGGTCGCTCCCCCTAGCGACTATACAACCTATGCGGACCACCTTATTTATTGTAAATAGGAAGGACCCAATTTCAAACTTGGCACATAGTTGTTTACTGTCTACTATTTTGTAGACAGAATTTTAACCAAACCCTTTAAATTAAATTAAACAAACCATGAAAAAATCATAAAAAATGTGAAATCTGAGTTTTGAGTTTTATGTCTTAGAAATCTATTTAAAGGAGTCGTCTCTGTGCTAATTTAGTATAAGAAAAAATTTCTAGAAAACTTAGACATATATACTGTTCTTATATCCACTTAGAACGAGTAATGCGATCTATCTAAATAATAAGAAAGACCCACCATCTTTGGATTCCCACGTTTTTTCCGGGTTATAAATGACCTAAAATCATCAAGAGCCTAATAAGTTTTTAAGGAAAGTAACTTTTTTCGAATTCCCAATGTCAAAATATTTTAGTTTAGCCGTAAAATGTAAATGATTTCTTCAGTTCGAATTTAGCGCCAAATTGGACAAGCAGTTTATTAAGTGTACACTGCTTGAAAAAGTGACTGCCAACACGACAAACTTAGAAGTCTAAACTTAACGAAGGCTTAAATCAGTTGGCAACGCGAACGGTGACGAGGGGGTTCGAGACATGGCTAAATGTTGGTATTTTACTTCAAAGTGTATAATGTAAGAATTCCAATTGAAGTAAAATGTACCGTGGCTTAAGCTCATAAATTTACATATTCCTTTCGCTTGTACGAAGGCGCCCCCTATTGGGAACATAGCGAACTGTCAGGAGCACTGCTTTCTTAATCGGTATAGCAGTTTATTCAAATACAGTAAATTCAAATCTTTTGGCGCCTTTGATATGTTTGAAAAGTATTTATACCTAAGTTGGGTTTCTACCTTTAGCCTCCATTGTTAGGATCAAACATCGATAAATCAATCAATTATGAAACGGTTTCATAAGCCCCGACCTTTACAGACTTTATTTACTAGACTTCTAAAGAGGAAAAATCAACTCCAGCGTCACAATCCCGTTTCTTTTGTCTTTCTGGTCAACGTTTTCATGAAAGGTTTTTCAAGGGACGCCAGAGCATCTTGCACTCGTCATATAAATTCATCAATTAAACATTAATTTATGCCGTGAAGCAGAGTTTTGCGGTCACATAAATCTGCGAGTGTTGTTTGCCCGCCACGAAAACCGAGCTGAGAGCTGACCCCAGGCATCCGAAGGACCAGAATGATTGAAGTCCCTGCCCCGGGAAATTCCATTGCCAATGCTCCGAGGATAAGACTGCAACCGAAATGTAAATGATGTTGAAACATTTATTGGTTACAGAGAGAAAATTTCGTCGCCGCGATAAGCGACAAACTGTTGACAGTTCGGATAGGGATATGCGGGATATGGCCGGATTTATTTGCCGAGCTAGTACTGCCTGTGTGCTGTTGGTTGGGAGCCGCAGAAAGAGTGGCGGGTAGTGTCCTTTGCCTCTTGCCTTCGGCTCATAATTTGCAGCTTCTCCACACACTGTCGTCCAGTCTTGGCCCCACCTCCACTTCCTCGCCTTTATCAGGTTTCATTAAAAATGCAAATGAGCAATGGAGATTGCAATCGTGCAGGCGACCAGGTGGGGTCAACGCAAAAAAAAAAAAAAAGAAAAAAATCCGAATGGAAAGCTCACACAAAGACCGAAACGCAGACGTGAAATTTATGCCAAGGGTTCAGGGACTGAAATTTATTGTTGCCATCGAGGTACATCGAATATAAAGCGGCTTTTGTCGTGAAAGTAATTCATATTTCGAGCAGTTTTGGTCGAAGTAGTGAAAAGTAGCTAAGTTGATTTAAATCTACCACCAAAATGATTAAAGTCATTACACTTAGCCATCAGTTATGGCAAGCCGGGTTTTCTTCAAAAATATTTTATTAAATGATATAAAATTGTGAAATTAAGTCAACGTTTGTTTTTGATAGTTTGACCTTTTCAAGAACTAATGCTTATTTTTCATAATAGTTCTTTCAAAGAGCATTATTCAAATAAATGATAATATTTTGTTTTATTTTTGCATACTATTATTACAACGAATTCATTGTCGTTCTAGCTACCTAACTTTGGCTCTCAAATTCCAGGAGAACTTTCAGTTAATGCCTGTTTCTGCAAGTGTGCCTCAATTGCATTCTTTCCGAAATATAGTCCTGTTTCCCCTTCAACCTTTTTGTTGCGCTTGGCCAAAGGGGAAAACTGAAACAGAGTCAGAAAAGAAGGAAAAGCAGCTCGAAAGCCGAATTAAATCGTCGAAAGTTCAAAATGAATGAAAAGCAGCTAGCGACGAATAAATGAATGAAACGAAAATGAATCCCAAAGGGAGGTGGTCGGGGTGTCGGCGAGGAGTGGAAAAGAGCAGCGCCTGGAATGACTGTCGCCTCCCCTCGCCGCCGCCAGTGTTCAGTTCTCCGTCGACCGTCCTGCAATGTTGTTGTGACAGGCGGGGTTCAATGGGTGCAGGGGGTGCGGGGGTGCGGGGGTACGGGAAAGTTTTGCTGATTTCGGCGCCGCTCAAAGTATAATAATGTGACCCGGCGATCCCAGCCCCATCCCCACCTTCCTCAGCTTCCGAACTTGCACAGTGTTGTCATAGGTTTCATATTTTATTTCTTGAGCGGGTACTTTATTGAAGTGGAACCAAAGCGGCGTCGCCTTCAACTGACTTCAACATGTTCTAATTATTGGGATTTCTATAAAATCGGAAATGGCAGCTATAATAAGCTTAAAACCGAAGTAGCATATCTGCTTTAAACAATAAGTATGCCTAATGGTCAACATATTTACAAAGTTATCTGGGTAAAGTGAATACAAAAAATCAACTAAGTAACTAACTAATAAAGCCATTTCTTAGTTTTATAGATTGTTTATAATAGAGAAATCAGTTTAAAGAAACCCAGTATTTTGTTGTATTAAAAAATAAAGTTTTGGAATTTAAGTAAACAACTTAATATACGGCATAGCTTACTTAACCAAGGTGAAACGGCTAAGAAAATAATATTTTCTACGTATTATGTTCGCCACTCGAAATTTCAGCACCACTGCCGCCTTGACGCAAAGTAGGCGTGGCCAGGGCCCAGCGGAAAAGTGCATCATGGTGGCTTGTGCTGCTTCAAGTGCACACTTTCTCATGGCTTAGCACTTTGCTGCATGCCTCGTTGGCTTTTGCAGGGCGTCGGCGGAAAAGCGAAAGGGGGAAGGACGGGGAAAGCAGGGAAAGCGGGGAAAGGCGGGCGTGGCGAGGCTTATGCAACAAATAATTTAATTTTATGCTGCATACAAAAAGGCGCAACTGGCAAACGAAGCAGCAGACGAATGAACGGGGAGGCGGAACGACAACGGAAATGCCACTTTACGGCCTGTTTGACGGAAAAGTGGACGTTAAGTTGTGAATATGATGATGGAGATGAAGAAAGTTGATGATGATGAGCACGATTATGGCCACGGACCCGCCGGCCGGCCAAGAGCAACAAGCAGCTGCCTGAAATATGGCGCATACGCCCCGTGGGACGAGAGGCTCTCGCTCACAAACAGCAACGAGGTCAGCCCATAAACTGGCCTAAATGTCATATCAACTGAAGACGTCCTCTCAGCGAACGGGAAGCGACATCAAAACGAAGGATTAGGACATAAAATGACCCCAGGGGATTTCGTAAATTTTTGCGGTTGATGATCATATGAATAAGGTAATTGGATTGCTGTTTGACTGCCTTAGTTTGGGTTGTATACTGATTGAGAGCTTCAGCTAGCCACGAAATATTTATAAAAAATGTAGCATACATTTGCCAAAGTAAATTTACGACTGACTGCATGGAAAATTCTTTATTAGAAAATGAAGAGTTCATTATCTCTATTTCATACTATACTATTTACTATTTCACTCTTCTAATAGGACACCAATGCGTATTGACGCTAATTGGTTACCTTCTCAACAAGACTTTTGTCGTGTACCTTGACCTACCCACTAGGAAACCAATGGCCACCAGACTCCCACTTCCTTCCACTCACCACCAACTGCCCGAATTTCACGCCCTTTTGGGCAGCAGACAAATATCTTGATAAAGCCGAGGTCGGCAATCAAGTAGTTGGAGCGCAAAATATAAAACATAAAATATGATTAACATATCAAATCTAACAGCAGCATTTCTGCCAACTCAGACACAAAAAATAGCTTTACATGATTGGGTCCGAGCCGAAAAATGGCAAAGGATAACGAAGCATGGAATTTGGGTCGGAAAGTCCGAAATTGACCGCCTCATAAATTGCAAAAACAACAGAAACAATATTAATACTAAATTCAACGAACGAAACGGATCAACAAATGAGCAAATATCAAAACCTATAAAACCATTTAGTCAGATGAGCGTGAAATTCCCCAAATATACTTTTTTTCGGGATTTGGGGTCCGCTTTAAACGTGAGGAAATAGAAAGGGGGTGTGCCGGACTTCGCAACGAGGAATGGCCACAAATTTTGCAACAACTGTGCGGCATTTTATGAGTTTGCCACGCCCACACAAACACCCATGCACCAGCACACACATAGACACACATACAACAATGGCTGGCAGTCATGACACTTCTGGGCCAGCGTTAAATAACATTTAAACAGAGGCCCAGGACACGTACAAAGCGAAGGGGGGGCGGGGAGGGTGGCTAAAATGGAAGGATGTGGCCATGGACATGGCGTAAAAGGATGCGGGTGCACACGAAGAAAACGCACTGCGGTTCTAAGATACAGAAAGTACTCTAAATAATTAGATAGAAGATGAGGTGTTTACTTAAATACTTTATTATATAATTCAAAAGCTGATTTGTCAACAAACTTTTACTGGGAATATTTAATATGCAGTTGAGGTTTACAAAGGTCCTCAATTCACAAAAGTATAACGACCAAAATTTGGACTGTACCCCTAATAATTAAAGTTCAAATTCAACCATTTGTCATTTTCCAATTGAATCATTTTTTCTTGTCGTATAGTTTTTATATTAAAGAATATCAATTATGATAGTCTTAGGGTTCGAATATATAGTTAGTTGAAAACCCTCTGCTCCGATAGTTTTTTTCCCCGTGCATAGACCAACATGACACAA